ACATTCAGTCAACAGACCATGAACGGACAAAGCAGGCAAGTTGTGGGCACAGCTGGTCTATCAATTACCCACAGCCAAAGCAAAGCTGTATGGAGTTACAAAAACAGTCACGGCCAGTCAATCCTGCTTAGGCTGGGAATTCTTAACTGTTGTGAAAACAGTCACTTGATTGATTTTGACTGAAAGGACTACTTGGCACAAAAATGTATGTTCGCAAAGGAGGTTTAATAGTGAAATTCATTCACTCAAATAAATTGAGTTTTCACTCCTGTTTCCACTTAAGTCATTTTTTTCTTTTAAGTATTTCTATATAAAACTAGGGTCACTCCAAATTGCCGGGAAATATTGACAAACGAGATACAAATGATTGAGAAGGAGTGTGCTAAAGCAGCACGAAACATGTACGTGCACATACATCCATGACCAAATTAAGTATACTGCTTCCGTGTGACATGTGACCCGACTTGTCAACATTTATGATTGATGTATTCTCAAACTATATAAAGTCAAAACAACAATTAATCAGTGACGAATGACAGCTTGGGACATGTTTTTTTTTGCAAGTATCTTAAAGTAATAGAGTAATATAGTATAAAGTCAAGGCTATTGGAACACCTCGTGCAGGCATGGCCACTTTCCTAATGCGGCCCCAGGGATGGTTTTTGTCTGGGTTGCAATTTTCACAGATTGCCACCTAGTCAACTTGGCCTACGGGGACTCTGTACTGTTCCAGTTTTTCCAGTCTAACATTCAAAAACATGAATGTGTGTGCCTGATTTATGGATTTTCGTAACATTCATGTAACAAGTGCACAACATGATTAGTTTTGTGTACAATGTACATGTATTTCATGGTACAGTCACATGTCAGTGCAGAAGGGGATCCTGAGGGGGGGCTCCCCCACCACTATTTTTCACAGGTTTCAATTTAAGAATTTTTTTTTTAGGAGATCTAGGCCTACATCTTGTCTGTTTCATCTGTTTAAAGGGTACATGAAAGGAAATTTTCTTATGAGTTTTGTGCAACTTTCTACTCCTCTTAATTGTATGAAACTATTGGACATGCCCAATTTCGGTTAATTTTATTTTATTCTTTAAACATTAAACATTTCCCACGCTTTTCCAGACAACTGGGGGTGCTGTTGCTGTGATGTCATTTCGGAAAGACAAGTTCAGCATGGGTGTTTTCTGTTTAAATTGTGAACCCAAATATTCATTGAAAACGTTTGTGAGAAAAGCTGGCTCACTGGCTTAGTTGCCATGTAATGACACAACAATAAATCACCAAAGAAAAGAAAAGTTATGACAACAAAATCTCCAAAATCTGGCAACATTTGGTGCTGAAATAGCTGTAACAGTGAGCGTCCTGCCTTACATGACATCACGCTTTTGCTCATGAATATGGACATTTGCACTATCATAAAAATAAAAAGGCACTAAATACCCTCGAAAATGGCAAAACAAAACTTAAAAATAAGGTTAAATGGGATACAAAGGTGCATTTTCAAGGACTGCATTAAAAAATACACTGCACGACCCTTTAATCACTTCAGAGACAGAATTTTCACCTAAATGAGTAAATACATCTCCCGCTTGTATGATATGGTTTCGTCTCCATTTTGGGCGCTAGAGTGGGGTCAAAGTACTTCCTTCTTTCCTGAAGATATTACAGACAATTTTCAATACAATATGCACAGTTGCTGCAAACAAAAGTCACGTACCCATTTATTTTATCTCAGACAACCGTTTGCAAACTGTAACATTCAAGATATTCACTTCAGTCCCGATTTATCCTAAAGCAGATATCACTACTTCGTTATCGCCCCAGCGCGCCTACCAAATTACCCATTATTGAAACACATGGACCAGAGCCCAACAGTTCCCCTCGACTAATATCAACATCATCGGTGTCGCTTTCCCCCAGACTGAACTGTATCAAGTTCACATCTGAACTGCCTGGAGAATTCCATAGCGGCTAAAGACCAAAGGTATTAAACTACACAATGACAACGGTTTCAGGTTGCAAGAAGTTAAAAGAGTCTGTGGAAATTGAGACGAAAACGGAAGCTTTTTTTATACAAGGGATGTGAAAATGTTACATCAGGAATATCCGGCCTGCCAGGAGTTTACTGAAGTTCATTTTGTTTGATATTTTTTTCAGAGGGGGGTGGGGGGAATAAAGATTCCATACATGTCGGGTTAGTTGTAGCTGATAGACTTTGCTGTGAATAACTTGGCGCCAAACCTATATTGGTTACAATACACGGCAAGTAGACCGTAGCTGATTTTCTTCAATAATTTTTTTTGGGGGGGGGGGCGCCAAACCGTAGGTTACCAATTTTTGTGTGTGTGTTTTTAATCTGACATTTTGTCATTTTCACTGTGCGTTTCTATTTAAATTTGAGTAAGTAATTTCTGCCCAATAACTCGGGACATTAATTCATCGCTATCCACATCTCTTTGGGCAGTGGATATTTTGCCATGACCGGCAAATATATACCTCCTGACACTATTTTGCCGTGAGTTTTTGTGATTGGCTGTTTCGATTGGCAAGTTATGTTTATTCATGAGTAATGAAAATGACGTCACGCTAGTGTTGCTACTTCTAAAGTCAACTTGTTTTGTTATGGTACATTCAAACTTTTTTTTTTTTAAAGGCTGTCATCAAGCTGCCAAGGTAGTCTAGTGGATAGTGAGATTAGCTATGGATCAAAAGATCTCTGGTTCGAATCCACCAATGCCCATTTTTCATCAGCTATTTTTCTTCTCCAAATTTATAGTTGGGATAAGTCCGAGAACCTTAGTGTCTTGCAGTGTTTCCATCGAAACTACTGACACGGGTTCTCAGAGCACACTAATGTCAAATAGGAGGTATATATTACCAGTCACAGCAAAATATCCACTGCCTTCATGACATTTGGCGGTAATCGTGTAGTTTATGACACCTCTTAGCTGGAGTTACCCAGCCCTAAATAATACATCATTGGGTTGTGATAAAATTTAGGGCTGGGTAACTCCAGCTAGACACCTCTAATGTTTTACGAGTTCAGAAATCAGAACCCTGCCCTCTTTCCACAAAATTAAGCTACCTGTCAATGGTTATCTTATCCAACTATTTAGAAGATGATTTAAAACACATAAAGTGACTTTTCTTGCCTATAATCATTGCCAAATAGGGCCTAAGTCATAAAAGTGTCTGTTCATTGTCTTATATGAAACAGGGGTTCTACACTACGCAATTACTCCATTTGGCAACCATGTACCAAATCAAATTATTGAAAACAAGAACTGGGACTGAGAAACATTTCAAATCTTGGAAAGAATGTTGCATCCCGACACCACTTTTTCATCACATATTATTTCAAAAGAAGGTCAGTCACTGCAAAATTGTTGAAAAGGCATGTATATGGGAATGAGAAACATTTCCAATTTTGTTAGAAAATACTTTGAAAATGCATGCAACTGGCCTTGTACACCACCATTGCACCAAAGAAGTGGCGTCTGGATACGACATTCGTTCTGTCCAGGGACATAAAAACAAAAACAATACAATAAAAAACTTAGCAAATAGTAAAATAAAATAATGTGGAATGAGAACACGCGTGACTTACCGAAGAGTGACTGCAATTAACAAATCCTCCATCTAGAAGTTGTAAAATTGGGTCGAAATAAGCAGCTTTAACTTGAGGAATCGAGGAAAGTTCGGTGGAGTCATCACTTCCACAAGATCCGGATCCGGCCTGAGAACAATCATGTCGTCTTCACACGTGCATTTTCAGCTAAATTTCTAGCTGGATGGATGCTCGACAACAGGACACTATACTCTTCTTTTTTTTTAAACTTCCATATACCGCACAATGGCTGTAAAAATATTTTATGTCAAGAAATGTTGTCAGTGACAGTTTTCGTAATTACTTCGCGAACCAAACCTGTCAAAAAGCCACGTGCGTCACGAAAGAAATTAAATGGCCAGCGTACTATTCCAAATAACAAGAAGGGTGAATTTCTAATAATTCCTTCCAAAAAAGAAGGAAAATGAGCGAAGATTTACTCTGTTAAATGAAAACATTTACCTCCTTTTCAATATAAGCTACTTTGTGGGAATTTGTATTAAACCGAAACGGTACCTCGAATGGTCTTTTATAGTGATGTTAAATGAATAATTTTGAAACCACCCCTCGAAGTGGAATAGTCCAACATTGAAACTTTCTGACAAAGGTGGCGCACTCACTCTTAACTGAATTAGCTTCCCCCTTTATGTCTATGGCTCCCCCGGCCCGGGCGCCCCGTCATCACACATTTCTCACTTTTTGTCCGTTTTAAGAGGAAATTTGCGTCATGATGAGTGGTGGCGGATCCGGGGTACGCATGAACGAGTTAGAACAGTCCAAATGCAGTACCCAGCGTTTCTTGATAAATTGACTCATAGTGGGTAGGGTGCCTACAACCACATTTTGCGGAGCCGACTGCGTTTTCCGAGAATTTTATCGCGCTAAACAAAAGGGGTTTCTGTTGAGGGAGGTGGGGGGGGGGGGGGGGGGGGGAGGGACGTTTATTTAAAGGGCCAATAACTGAGCTCAATAGACTTAAAATGAAGCCATTATAAAGTTGACTTCAGTGGGAGTAACCATGATTATAAGCAGGTTTACTGAACATATAATTTACTTCAAAGTGAATCCCACTTTTTCTTTTTACACTCCCCCCCCCAATGTATCCTTTAACAGCCCCTTCTACTGGTCAATTAAGGGCCTTACCCAAATAATTTGGTTTGGACAACAAACGGGAGATACAAATAAACAAGACAAGCATTTTGGTCAATTTGTTTCTGGGTGGGAAATAGTTTGCTGGATGATCACAATTTTCCACATGTACATAAAAGTTAAGTTTCTAATGAAATCTTGGAATACAATAATTTCGACAACTTCTATTTCTAATCTTACCCCTCCCAACTTCAGTTTTCACACTTTCAGTTACGGATATTAAAGCCACACACAAATCCAGTTTCCTTTTCTATCACAAAATGGGCTTTATTCACTTGGAAGTTATTGTGTACATGTAATAAATGCACGTATGCGTCCATTGCTACGATATACCACAACTGTGAAACATTGACTTGGGCTTCTTTTTCAAGGGCTTGTCCAGGTAGCCGATTCGGAAGTGTGCAGTGAAGGTATGCTGCACGTTGCATCCTTGGACAGTTTGTGCAACGAACGGGTATTTTTCGAGCAGCGCCAACAGTCTCACAATGCAGCGACACATCAACCTTCACAAGTTCATATTCTGTTCTGGCAGCTATCAGTAAAAGTGTCTATGACACTGAGCCTATGCCAGTCGCCAACACTTCACAGGTGTCCGCCTGGTATGTTTAGCCATGTTGCTAACAGCAAAATTGGAGCCAGTCACCAGGCCAGCTGCACTTCTGGCTCGCGCCTACGCACAAAATCCGCACCTGTTCAGGGTGAGACACTTGCAAACTGTCCAATTTTTTTTTGCTTGGACAGCTTTCTTTTCTTTTCTTCATTATTCGGCCCACGTTTTCGTCAAAATACTCCCATGTGGCCACTTATCACGGCACAGACGTTATGTGTTGATGCAGTACGACCCAGACACAAAATACGTCACTTGAACCGGGTGGTCTTGAAAAAAAATAAAAAGTTGACGACATTGGGGTTGCGAATTTGTTACAAACGTGCACATATTTGAAAAGCGGGAGTTGTGTATCACTGACATTTTCAGAGCATTCCAAAAGTACATTGTCGCGAAGACCGTAGGCGTCGTTTAATGAACGTATGCTTCACGCGTCAATGGTTGGTCACAATGTGTGTATGAACTTGAATGAACTTTGATGACATCACGGTTCGCAGAAGCCAGCCAATGACTGCACAGTAAAAGGCTTCCTAACAATATTCCATGTAAAAGCCAATGGGTAAATTTGGCCTTGGGATATAGAACCCCCCCCCCCAAAAAAAAGATACCCCCTAAACCTAAACATTTCAGAGAATTGCAATGCCAGTTAATGCCAATTTAGTTCTCAATTCAAAGACACTTATTTTATTCTGACAGCAGGATTTATTTAAATAATACGGAGTAATACTATGGGATACTATTTACACAAATACATTGTTTAGCCTTGAACCAAATTGTAGAAAAAGACTTGGAGACTTGAGTAGAAAATGTGGGACATTTTACCAAACATGAACAAATACTAAAAAAGTAACCGACTAGCGTTGTTTTACCCTCTTATTTTTAAAGATCATTTCTTAATTTTAACCGAGCAGGGACCAAAAAATTGAGGTTTTTACATCTATTTAAAGATAAAGACACAATAGACTTTATTTACATGAAAAAATCAAATAACTACCCCCCCCCAAAAAAAAACTAGAACATAGGAAACAAAACAACATTTAAGGAAAACAAACTTGCTTCCAATATAAATATGACGCAAGGGTTCTGGCCTTTGATAACACAAATGTTTGAAAGCAGGGATTAGCAAGCATACCACAAACCATTCAGGCCCAAGTCAACTCACAAGCTATTCATTAAACTGTGACGAAGGCATTGCTTTGTTCTTGTCCATCACCTGGTATTTGTGACTGGACTTGTGAATTACTTGTGAATTTTTTTTACGACCAGACTTGTGATTCCATTACAAGCACATCGATAACAGCACTGCTAATCACTGATGAGGTTGGCCCGTTCCATTAGGAGGCGGGGGATGCCGTACTGGGAGGGGACTGGTTACTCGCTGACTGGTTACTCAGGCCTTCGCTGCCCATACTCTCCGGCCGACTCTCGGCAAGGCTGCCCGCACCGTCTGTGGATGAACCAGAATAACGATGCTCAATACTTTTAACCAGGTTTGAATGTGGCAATGAACAATATTAACAGACCCCTTGCAAAGAGCGCCCTCACGGAGTGCAAGTCTTGGTTCCTCCACAAGGGCGCTCCGTATGTAACCACCACGCTATAACCTAGGAGCACGTTCGGACGAGGACCATTAGTCGACTAGTGGTTGATTTGTGACGTGACCTACGCCTGCGCACTAATAGCAATGCACGAACGCCTCTAGTCAAAACGACGGTCAAAAGTCCTGGTTCCCCGTTGTGCTTTACAATACCCCGCAGCTATGGGTAACCAGCAATGTAACCATTGCCCAAGCTCTGGATCCAGGTAGTTGACTAGAGTAGTCCAACCGTCCTTCATTCGAGCGAAGTTAGTCAAACTATGATTAACTATAGTTTGTGACCGGACTTGCTCATAGCAATGTTGTTGATGGCTAAACTCCATGGAGTACCGAAGTGTGACGTCATTTAGAACCAGAAAGTGTAACGCAAACGAATGGAGTACGCGCGCGTGTTGGTTCACGGGCTGAATCACGAGCTAATGTCTTTCACACACATTTTGTGCGCGTGACGTATTCACTTCGGTACTCCATTGAAGAGTCTCTGAACTAATTGTTAACGCAGGTTTAACGCTCCTCTGAGCATACACCAGGGCAAAATGAAAAGAGTTTGCACGGACTGTGGTGATAAGCAACCCACAATGCTGATACATGTAGCGAAAAGCTTGTCATAAGAGCCCCTGAATAAGGCAGTGCTTACAAACGACCTGCCAAACATCACATTTTATTGGAAGTACATTGAAGTCAGTGGTTCTGCAAATATCCCAAATCTTTGATGATCCATCGGCTGAGTTATCGGTCGAAGCCAAATTTATTATTTTTTTTATCTCACAATGCCTGACAGTAACATTATTCTCTCCACCCTCGATTTAAAACGTTACTGCAAAGGCCTACAAATATTTCCGCTTCTTTTGACACAAAAACTCCAAAGTTCAATTCCGAACTTAAGTGCCTTGAACTTGGCTTCAATTTTTCCAACAGGCACGTAGACAGTCTTAAAGTTATTGTTGAACCAAACAGATTTTTGCCTTCCATTGACAATTTTACTCACGTAGCACAACCATTCATCTTATCTCAGATTACTCTGTCAAACCGTGACAAAAGCCAACACATGTTTTCCCCCAAAAAGTACACAACACCTTGGGCCCCAAACTACAAATTTTCTGTTAAAAAAAGAAAGAAATCTCTTTCTTGATGTACCAAAGTGGGTTGAAGTATTCCCACAGAGGAAACCAGAGAAGTCGCTAATCCTGGGCTCAAAAATTGACACATTTGTAGCGACACCTGCGAGAGGGAAATCCCGCCAGGGATCGAACCCAGGAATGCACAGAATTCTCAAAACCCAATTATTCATCCCCGACACTTTGACTGCCTCCCGAAAAATACAGACAGGGTTAAAAAAAAAAAAGAAGTACATGTGACTTATTCAAAAGGAAAAATGTCAAGCTAAGAATGATTGTTTCGCCCGAGGCAGAAACGTCAGAGACTGTCAATGCCTTTTTTTTTCAGCTGCTGGGTGTACTTTTTTTTCTTCAAAAAGTTTGGCAGGTATGTTTGCAAATTACCCTCTTTTGTTGGTTTAATTTCTTTGTGTGCATCTGTAGTCACCGGTTTTACTACACCGCTTGTATTATATTTTGCGTCTATTGCCTAAATGTATCCATACAACCGCAACCGAGACGTCAACAAATGACAATAAACTGTCTGCGGTACACTAAGATATGACCACGGAAAGTAACTTTTTTTTTTTTGCAAAAAGTTATTACTTTGGTTCCCTCTGGGCACAAAGCAATTTCCTGTTCCCATTTTAATTTTTTTATTTACATCGGTAAATGTTTGAAGTATGACTAAATTTCACGGAATACTATTAATGGTAGAAGGTTTAACTAACATTTTGAATAAATGTGAATAATGTACTCTGTGAGGAACATGCTGATGAGTTTTTATTTTTTATTTTTACCATTTGCTGGATACCATCTGAAGCTATTTGGTAATTTTCATGGTAGACGCTTCTAAACATCGCAAAATGAAAGTCCACACTCATTAGAGGGGTCATAATTTTAAGTCTGATCGTCTTATGCTAACGTGATTTATATAGACCTTAGGGGAATGTTGTTAGCTACATTTTGATACCCTGTTTGCTACAAAAGACTGTAAATCATCCAACATTAACAACGGTTTATGAAAAATGATGCAGTTTGAAAAGTTGCAAATTTAAAGAATATGCAAGTGGAAATTGCTGTGAGACAATGTCACACTGCGCCAAACGAACGGCAGGGAATACCGATCGCACAGTGCTTGCATGCATGGAGCATTTGAATTGAATTACCCGCGCTTTGTGTAGGCAGGGAGCTCTAAACTGTTGAAAATAGTCACTTGATTGATTTTGACTGAAAGGACGATTTTGCACAGAATATAAGTTTGCATAGGAGGGTTAATCAGGCATGTAAGCAGGTACTGGGAATAAAAGAGGAGGAAAATGTTAAGTTCAAGGTATCGTGATCCAGGGTCAAGACAACCCCCCTCCCCCACCCCTCCCCCACCCCAGTGCGTCCCCCCCCCCCCCCTCCCCTCAGTAGCTACATGACATTGGGCCTTGGCCATAAGGATCAGTATGAATAGGGATAGATGACGCAGACGTCTGACCTTGACTGTTGGAATCTTGCAGTGGGCTCTGGGTGAGGGTGCTATCACTGCCGACAGACGTGGGCGGCAAGGTGCCGGTCACAGCGGCTACGATAGCTGGGTTCTGAGCAGCCGCTGACTGGGTGGGGACAGGCGGGACTGGTTGGCTGGGCGCTTCACCTGAAAATAACCAACAGGTCCGGGGTTAATACGTTGTTTTTTTTTTGACAGGTACCGCCCAATCACTAGTCGCTGTAATAGAATATGTGAGCAGATTTGCTGATTAATTATGCAAGACAACCCCCTCTTGACCTCCAGATTTTGACCAATCGGCGGGCGCTTTCTATATCGGGTCTTCGGTCATTCACCCGTTGTCGCGTCATAGACATGGATAAAAAATAACCTAGACACAGCAAACAAGGGCTGTGGTCACGCGCTCTGTATTATGTTACGGGATATGCGCCAAGCTTGTCTAGGTTTTATAGATGCCCGGCCTTTGTTGTATGACAAAACACTGTATTCGCATTGACCAATCAAACATTTAGTCCGGATTTGGGAATGAAATGCCGTCACGATTTAGTAAAGTCGACTCCGATTGGGTGAGGCGTTGGCTCGCATAAATCTGCATGCTTAGATATATCGGACGATAGACCGGCGACTGGGCTCCGTGGACAACCAGTGATACTCAGACTACCCAATCACCAGACCAAGAGCATTTCTAAGATGCACTCAGTATATTACTATACAGATTTCACATTATTCTCAGACTGAAATCCACTCCTGATATTATTTCCCCGATTTTTTGTTTGAAACCCAAATGAAATCTGTTCTCACTGGTGTCCATGCTTTCTTCGGCCGGTGCCTCGTCCGTCTGCGGTTGCTCTCCCTCTTTGGCTGGTTCTGGATCCTCGCCGACTCTCGCTTGCTCCTCCTGGGTGCTTGCTGCCTCACCCCCAGGGGCCGGCTCCTCTACAGGGTCCGCCGTGGGGTCTGGCACTGCCGCCTGCTCGGGGAGGGGCACGGCGGGTGGAGTTGTGGAGACGGGTGGGGGAGGGGTGCCTGAGGGAAGCTGTGGGGAACCTGGTCATGAAAGGGAGAGCGAAATGAAGGGTCGAGATGAAGGGTCAGGATGAAGATAACATCAATGAGACTTGGAGCTTTGCACTATGGAGATAATGAAATACAGTCAAACACCTTTATAACAAGGTCCTTGGTACTTCACAAATTACCTTGTTATAACAGTAACGGAAAACAAAGGAAAACACCTAAAATTTTGCTTGTTATAAGCAGGATGGTATATTAACACTGCTCTTCTTATCAGGGTTCGACGGTAGATAGTTTGAATAACATCCAAGACTTTTCCACGACCAAATAATGAAAATCCATGACCTATTTCATAAAAATGCAGATCCAAAACTGTAAAACTTGTTTAGTTCTTTATCACATTCTTAATGGGGATATCACAGGCAAAAAATTGAAATCAAAATGTTTGTATCAGCGACATTTTTCGCATTTTGTCGGGTATATAAATCAGATTTCCGTTGCTTAATTATGAACATACAAAGTTTAAAATTTAAACTAAATATTGATCCTCGCACAATTCCATAAGTTTTCCATGATTTTTTTTGTTATTTTCACAATTTCCAAGTCTGAAAAATGAAAAATATAATTCAATGACTTTTCTACTTTTTTTTTTTCAGACCGCGGGAACCCTTATAAGATGGATTGGTTGAAACAAAAAGAACGTCAAAGGAAATAACAGCTTGGGACATTAAACCACAATGGATGGATTGGCAAAGTATGAAATTATGGCCGGACGTTTGACATATATACCAACTATGACCATATTTATCTGAACAAATTTTGTACTGTACATGTAAGTAAGTGCATTGTACACGCATGTGACAGATCAGTGATTGATTGTTGAGGTGGTTTTTTTTGGTCCAAGCAGTTTTTTGTGTTCGACTTTGATTTATCTGATAGAGTGCCACATGTGGCTTCATTGTCTGGAGCATCGAACACAAGATCTGCGGGTAGTTCAGCAGGGTTGTGGGTTTGAGACTTTGAGTCCATCCTTAGGGGTTGCGGTGTGCGTGTCCTTGGGCAAGACACTTTGTCAGGAGTGAATGGATACGTATGCGGGCAGAAATTTGTTACCGTGATTGTTTTCTTTGCCGCGAAGTACCAAAATGGCAGCATCGAGCTGTATACTCCCCAGGGAGCTGAGTTAATAATACCGGAGTCTTATATAGCGCACGTATCTACCAACAATTAGGTACACAAGGCGCTGGAAATTATGTCTATTATTAGAGACAGGTAAATGAAGTACATGAGAAATATGAGAACCATTATGTAGCACCTTAATAATGGTTTACAAGGTGCTGCGGTGCACTAAGCAGCCAATGCCAGAAACACCGGGGCAAACCCCTTCTCTTAGCGATAAGTGTTACTGGGTTCTTTAACGTGCATGACACAACACACGGGACCTACGGCTTTACGTCCCATCCGAAAGACGAAGCAATAATGGTAAAGTGCCTTGCTCAGGAGCACAAGCACCATGCTCCTACGGTCAGGATTCGAACCCATGTACCACGGTACATGGGTTGTTCTTCGGAATGTTTTCATTAGCCCAATGAGGAGGGTAATAATGGTGTAGGGCCTTGAGCAACAATATTGGTGGACACGTTGGCTTTTTCTAAATACTCATTATTATTATCTCAGGATCACAAGCCGATCGTCTCACCAGTGAGTTGCGGTATACTTGGCGTTGCGTTTGTCGGTCCTGGGCCCCCCGTGGCTGCTTGCTGCATGGCTGCCATGGCCTGGGCGTGTTGTCGTGCTCTCATCTCAGCGGCGCGGAGCTGCTCCTGATGGAACTGCTGCCTGTCTGCCAAGAGCTGCTGCCGCTGGTACTCCAGCTAAAAAGTAAATTTTTAAAAAATCATGGATAAGAAGTCAGATAGTTTACAGCCTTCTGTTGACAGTATCCCTTTAAGTTTTACACTCCTAGTCTTCCGCACTTCACAACCCTTCAAGTTTTGCCAGGCAAGTTAGAACACACGCTTCAAATTCCTTTCAGATAGACGGTCAGACAGTCTCCTGAAGAGGATCAGAGCATACTGACCGGAACGTTGAGTTTATACCTCTGGTTCTTTTCAGAACCATTCTCTTAGTTTGAGAGATTATTCCTACATGGTGTTTCCGCAAACCTTTCACTCATTAGTATCTCCACCATGAAAGCCTCAAATCTATCTTTCCTTTCAGATAATCTTCTGTGGCATATGGATAACACTTCAAATCCCCAGCACAATGTTTTTGTATGGTTAAGGTCAGGGCAAGCAGGCAGATTCGGTCATGTTTCACTGTTCTCCAGAATTTGTTATTTTTGTGTGTGTGCAGTGACTCTCTGTGTGACACAGTTACTTCAACACTTCATATCCCTTCACCTGAAACTGACCTGTGGGTTTAAAGGGTTTTACATACTGCTCTGAATATTGACTTCCCATTGTTAAGTGGGTGGAACTTTCTTGAATCTTGCTTAATCGCCAAGGAAACTAACGACATCCTCTGTGCACACTAAATTTCAACTGACACAGTGACTGGATTTGTACTTTCCTCAAATTTAAAACATATTCACAAACCAAAATATCTTGAATCTACCGCAATGAAGTGATCAGCATTGTTTATTGACAAACTGATCACTTTACTGCCAAACATTCCGAATATGTTCAAGTAATAAGCAATACAATGGGCCTATTGCGGATACACCTGTCTGTAACTTATTCCCGATATTTAATGAGGTATCTCCTTACCGCTTCTCTCTCCCTGTCCATGATCGTCTCCAGCTCTTCGAAGTGTCGCAGCTTGATCTCCAGTTTCTTCATCTGCGTCTCCACCAGCAGGGCCACCAGGCTCTTGATCTTACGCTCCTCAACGGCTGCCAGGTGCTGTCAGAAAGAAAAACAAAGACGACAGAACAACTGTTATTATACCTCATACATATTCATAACCCAATGCACTTCTTTCATTGGTCGATGATCCGACATGTCAGGGAAGCTAAAGGAAGCATGTACTATTGACCTATCGTCGTTTGCGAGTTAGCAACCCCCCTTAGACAACCCTATGGAGTTTTGTACGTTGTTGGTCTCTGATTTTGTGGGTTCCGCATCCCTTTGTACATCATGTAATTGCACAATATTTCACAAGCTGCGTTGACGTGATTCTACCGCAATATGTTAATTGCCCAACTGGTCTGTAGCACCAGGATATAGTAAGCCTACATTAGCTCCTAGACACCGAACAGAAACCTTGCTTTGCCTGCAGAAAAATTAAGATGCATTTTCATAGTTTTTCTCAAAAAGTATATCTACCGAGCTGAAATGTCAACAGGTAATTATTTTTTAATTACCTGCATCAGATTTAAAAGTTGTGTTCCTTGCATCTGCAAAAGTACGATTTTTTGCAAATGGTGTCCATAAAACCTATGACTGCAGTCGATAACCAACTCCACTGACCTTAGCTTTGACTGCAGCGGCCGCTAGTGCTGCTGCAGCAGCTGACGCTATGTTCCCCTCAGACAGCTCCTCCTCGTGTTTCTTGACGGCCTCCGGTTTCTCCTTGGGTGTCTTGTCTTCCTCCTTGTCTCCTTCCTCTCCTTCCGTCTTCTCTACCGTCTCAACATCCTGAGTGTCCTCTTTGGGGGCAGAGTCATCCTCCCCTTTTTGTTCGCCCGTCTCCGGGGAATCCTCTTTGCTTGGTTCCTGTTTTGATTGAAAGAATAAGTCACAAAAATGAGTCTCATATCAAATAGAAAATACACTGACCTCCTAAAAGTATACATCTAAGTTCTATTAACTGTATCTTGGGGTTGTTTACCGGCCAAAGTGCCATGTGAATATCACTCCTGACTGGTCCCCATCTCTCGTTTTTTACATTTGCCTCCTGCGTGACCCATCAGAGATTAAAACAAGGTTACCAACCAAACTTCCCTGAAGAGTATAATAACCCCGACTGGTCCCCATCTCTCCTTTTTACCTTTGCCTCCTGCGTGACCGTGCAGAGATTAAGACAAGGTTACCAACCAAACTTCCATGAAAAGTATAATACCCCCGACTGGTCCCCATCTCTCGTTTTTACCTTTGCCTCCTGCGTGATCGTGCAGAGATTAAGACAAGGTTACCAACCAAGCTTCCATGAAAAGTATATCACCCCCGACTGGTCCCCATCTCTCATTTGTACCTTTGGTTCCTGTTTAATGCTGTCTGCTTTCACTTCTCCCGTCTCCATCTTCTCCGCTTCCTCCTCCCCTTGCTTCTCCGACTCCTCCCCCTCAGGGGTCTTCTGGGGAGCCGTGGCCTCCGTTTCCATGGCTTCACTGCCATCTTTGTCCTTCTCCTCGGCAGCTGGTGACTCCTCTTTCACCTTAATTTCCTGTGGGTGGGTGGGGGGGGGGGGAGAAAGGGATGTTAGGGTCATTGCTTAAAAATCCTAAAAATCTATTTCTTAAAAATCCCATTTCAGACTGGAGTTTCAGAGTCGTACCAGATCATAGTATTCTAAAAATCTGAGTGAAAAAAGATGGTATTTGCGTCGGGGTGATGTAAACTTTATGTTGGGTTTTGCCCTTTGCCGACATATCTTGTGAGAAAGATCATTTGCCACCAGTATGTAACAACATTAATTTTGTTGTGAAGTTTCCTTTGGAGAACTGAATTATTACCGGGAAATGACTCCTCAAAAAGGTGGAATCCCGATATCAGTTACAAGGAATTGATTCTGTTCCATATTGACCTGAAATTCCCTTAGCCTAGATATGAACGGGTTATAGTCAATTAATTATAAAGCCCTTAAAATCAGTACACAGACAGAATACAACAGTCTCTTTTCTCAGCGTCACTAATCTCATCACAAGTTACCCCGGAGCAGTTGAGGTTTGAGCATATCATCACTGGAGCCATCCATTCCTTGACAACTACCCCCTTAGGCTCTGGGGGCCTTGTCCCTGGGCTGCAAATCTATAACACACAGACTCTATTATCACAGTTGGACTAGTATATCACTCATCACTGCTCTGTGGTAGTCTTGTTGGAGAGGAGAAGTGAAATTTCACCCTGATCTCCTATAAATCAGGATAAATGAGAGGATTTGACAAAGACCTTGACATTTTCCCCAACATTTTGGAAGTCTTGAAGAGGCTGAGGCATGTTTTGGAATATTCTTCAAAATCCCCCATTCCTTCAAAATCAAGCAAGAAGGTCTAGAAGATTGTGTGTAATTTAGGAAAGTCCAGAGTATCAACTTTTGCAGGACTCATGAAGGCTCCTTACAAAATATGCCAAGGAGTAAGTGTTCAGTAAGCACCTACTTTGTCGATAAAACAGGGCACCCAGAAACTAGTGTGCTGTGCATACAAATAAAATGAACAATTGATTTCTAGATTTTTGTGTGTGTACATGTAATTGTGAAAATTAATCCACACATTCACCCTCCTATGCAAACATACATTCTGGGCCAAGTTTTCCTTGCAGTCTGTCAAAATCAATCTGTTGTCATTCCCAGCCCACATAAAGCAGGATTGACTGCCTTGGACTGATAACTTGATACAGCTCGATGTTTTGACTCCAGGTGAGTGAAAAAAACAGCTGTGACCACAACTTGCCTGCTTTGTCTGTTGACCCAGTTTGACTAGACAAAGTGCTTGCTTGGCATATGATCTGACTGCTGGTGTCTAGCCTTTGTTAAAAGTATAGCAGGGGAAGTGGAAGTGAATTTTAACTGTCTGTGACTGTTTAAATAGCAGGAGGGTTAAAAGTCATGTGTCGCTTGGCGTCTGTGGTCAGATACTATCTAGCAATGGGAGATTGTCACTGAAGTCTGGACTCCTAATCTACCCAATGGTTTATACATCACTCCACAGACACACAAGTTCAGGTTCTGACTATATCAATGACCTCACTTTTTTCCTTTAACATGTGCTTTGTTGAAACAAGATCACTTAACTCTCCCCCAAAAAGGACACAAGAACCAAAACATTTTCTGAATCATGACTGAAAAATGTCTTTGCATTGAAGCTATCTATGTGGTGTGTGTGTTGTTTGTTTGCGCAGGGATACGTATGACTAGGCCTCTTGTGCATGTTTAATACTGAATTACAATTTATGCAGTCTGTACAGGTAGGCCTATGAACATGCACAACAGTGCAGTCACAAATCCTTTTTGACAGTTAAATTTCCTTATTTTGAGGTCAGAACAATTTTAATGTGTTTTTGATAATGATCACTTTCCCACATGACATGGATTGTTCTGGTCATAAAACCACCATTAAATTTCAATTTAGTGAAAAAAAACCGCACTTCTTTGCACGTTCGGTCATGGTCAGAAATTAATAAAGCAATTTCAATTTAATGTTTCATTTACCTTTTACCTTGTAAATATCAAAACCTATTTATTGGGAAATATAAAATTATACTTGTCTTTTGTAACCATGTCAAGGTATGCAATTTCAAAAAAAAAAGAGAGTTGTGTTGCTCTTGTTATGACCAAGTAAAACCATGGAAAGACATTTTACTTTTCAATGTCTTTTTACCCATTTGGCTATTTATAAGTCTTAATGAGATATGGCGTGCACATAGAGGGCACTTTTTTGATTTGGGTATTTAAATTTGGTAATGACAGGAGAGTTTAACTAAACCATTTAGGGTGCAGTGCACCCATTTAAGCCCCATTGAAAACCGTGCAAAATCAACAAAGTTAAGGGCCAAATAACATGCAAGTCGACATCACTGGCGTTTCTCAAACAAAACTTAAATTATTGTCTTGTCCTTCATCTTTTCATTTCTTTTCAATTTTGGGTAGATTAGCCAATTACATTTTTAAATATTCACACCAAAACAAAATCACCTCCCGAAAAGTGATAGTTCCCAAGCCTGCATGTAGCCATCTTACAAGTGGCATCCTTCCACTTTCTCAGGCAAATAGGACCCATTTTTCAACCGTAATTTTATCAAACCTGCCCTCAGATAGAAGCCCAAAAACCAGGGAGTTGATCTTTGGCTATATTTACACAATTCCACCCTTTTTAAAGCCAAACGGTCTCCTTTTTCAAAAGAAGTTTTCGGGCACTTTTCATGCTTATGAGTTCGCTTAGAAATTCTCACTTGAATTAGTGCGCTGCACCCTAGAGTGCTTTAACATTATGTCCAGCATTTTATGTCCAGCATTTTGAGTCCACCTCTCAGAAAGGCTAATGGCATCAACAGACTTTTATTTTTAGGCAAGGGTTTGTGCATTGATGGAATTTCCATCAGCACCAGTAGGCCAAAATGGGGAATTTATTCCTACTAATTTGGAAAACAAAGTTTTGGAAGTTGGGAGCAGTTGGATTTTGAGATGTTGGAGAGGGGGGGGGGGTGGTGGTGGGGGTGACAAGGTCTCTATCAGACACCTTGTCTTGTACCCCAGGGTGCGGTGACAGGTGTAATAATGGGTCCATTTAGGGGAGTCAATTTGTGGGAAGATTGGCAGAACGCTTCGGCAGGCTATCATCAATCACCCTTGGCTGCAAGTGTTAAACTATTTGTTTTGGGTGGGGAAATGGTGGTGGCAGTTTTGGTCCACTGTTTGCAACCTACTCAACATTATTATGGGTTCGCTTTAACACCAAAAAATCCTGGACATCAATCATTTCTTTTATTTTGTGCAACTGTACTTTTTTTGGAAAGGGAGTGCCTATTGCTACGTGTCTTTCTTGGGATTTTCCTGTGAAGCTTTTCAAACGTGTGGGTGATTTCTTTTCACTCTCTTTTGCCCCTCAAAACATTGCTTCACATTACAAATGTTTTTCAAGGTGATCATGTTACACGCAGCTGCAAGGGACATTTTTAGAGAAGGAAAACACAAAAATGAAATTCTTAAAAATTCCATTAGCTAAAGTCTGACTATCAAAATTACAATAACCAACCCTTTTTTTGGTGAGACAATTTCAGCAAAGTGTGAAACTGGTACAAATATTAAGAGCAAGAAATAATGATAATCTAACTTTTTTGCGCAACAAAAGGCAAAGTACATTTTATAGTCCGATAGATTTTGTTTTGGGAAAGTGTGCCCCTTCTTTTAGCTACATGTAACAGTGGTTAGATTAGGGGCAAAATGTGAAATCCACGAAATAATTGGCAGAGGATTTGTGGGTTGCCAAGTTCCAAGAGCAACGTAGGGTCTATGGTATATACTTGAATTTGCCTAAAGAAACCCATAAAATACCCATTTCTTGTGTCTACTTGAACCTAAATAGGTACTGAAACCTTTGTAGTAAAATTTCACATATTCCAGATTTCAAAGAATTTTTTTTTAATCCAGAAATCAGGAAAAAAATCCTGACAAGTCACCTCTGACGTACATGCAAAATTCCCTTCAAACAGATCTTTCAAGCAGAATTTCTTTAAAACAATGCCCGACCCTTCGGGCTAAGGAAGCAGAAACACAGTTGCAATTTGGGTGGCTTTCGGCCGACGGTTATACGATGCCTCCCACAAAAGTTAATGAACCCTAGTCTTCCCTAGAGCTGAAAAGACCAGCCAGTAAGTGAAATACTCCTAATTGATACTCCCTTACCACTTTTCATTCAGCGTCTGCTTTTAGCTTTCCAGTCCGCGGTTGAATGCCCCCCCCCCCACCACCTCCCCAGTTATAAACCTAACCACAGAAGAATTTCTTTTCCCGAAAGCCTGCCCACAAATTTACATCTGTGGGCAAACAAAACCCAGGGGCGAACCCCACAGCGTCTGCCGAAATGTAACAATCCTGAGGTTTGTCTTGTCGATGTAAATATTTCCGCGCCGGTCCAGTCAACCGCTAACGATACTTTTCTTACGACGCCATTAAGCCGGTCCCCTCCGGTCTAACAACACAATGAGTTGGGGCACACACCAGGGGACCAGGGGAAGACTAACACTAGGGTCCAGCGGTGACAGTGCATGCCTGTCTTCACCAGTGCAATGAAACAACTGTTTCTCACCACACCTTTCCGTGTTTTTTTCACCAAGAAACTCAGGATTTTTCACAGCAGGGTGTATTTGCAGGAAACCTGGGGCATTTTCAACACTTGGCCATTTCAGCAGAACGGTGCCTTTTTAAAACCATCTCTTTGTTACTTCCAACAAATGTGGATATGGCACAGAATTCCCTTTAAGCAGTAAATGTGCCTAGATTAAGGATGCAACTTTGCGTTTTATTTTGTAAAACGTTAAGCACATTTTTTCAGAACTGTTTAAAGGGAAAATACAACATTTGCAAACATCAAAAAATAAAACTACCAAATTATTTTGAAATACCTTGCTGGACTGTTAGTGAATGACAGTCTAAAGCATCCTGTAAAATCATGGCACCTGGTATACTGTCGTTTTCAAGAAAAGTGGTATTGTCGTGTCAATTTCCAATGCTGGTCGGCCGACCAGCGTTGGAAAAAACTGGCTTTTTTCCCCCCCAAATACTGGCCCCAGGTGACCATATTTAGTTAGTCCGGTTTTGTTTGCAATCGATTACACACCTATGAACGGGTACAAGCCAGCTAGACTGGTTCCCTGACCTGACAATTCCCCAATGTCTATAAATTGCTTCGTTTCATCTGAAATGGAGTCAGGGAACCAGACTACAGGAAAATGATTGCTTTTCTTGGTTTTCAAAGCATCTACGAACCCAAAATGTAAAAAAAGTCAGTGTAACAATATTTGTTATATATTACCACCCCCAAAATTCATCCTTTTCTGAAACTTACAGCATAAGCAAATGATGTATATTCCCTTTAACTGTTTAAACGTTTAGCCATTTCACAAAGGCTGTCATGTTCCCATTATGTCTGCAGATCGGTATGATTGACATTGTAAATCCACAATGATTGACATAATAAATAGAAGGCAGTCGTTGAAAACTAAAAACTTAACTACATGTATGTATACCTCGAATGTAATCAAGTAGGCCACTACGGCGCTTCAGAGGTTTCGTCAAGTGCTCTTGACGAAATTGTGTTTCACGATCAAAAGGCTGTGCATGGTTTTTCACTATTTCCTCAAAAAGTGAAATATCCACTGAGCTGAAACTTCAACAGGTTAGGTTTTGAACGTTCCTCTTTGGATTTCGAGTGGTTATTATTATTGGAAACAGACAATATGCATGAAATGCAAATGATCCTATACCGGGCAAGTAAAAAAAAACCACACAGGGATGTGTGTGAATTGTTTTCGTTTTGCAAAAAGGACGCACACCTCTTTTGTGATCCGTGGACAGAACTTCAAAACGGTAGTTGTGTTTAAAATTCCGTAACTTGAAAAGTACATGAGTGATTGGAATGATTTTTGTACTAAAAGAAAGCTTACGAATTGGGCTTTTATATCCTAGATTTTGAAAGTGCTACATGCAGAACTTCACTAAAACAATGGTCCCAACATTTTGGGTTTTTTTTCCCCCTCACCCTGTAAGCCTTTCAGAAGAAGACACTGCACCATACCTTATCAGTGGTCTCCTTGCTCGCCCCTGCAGCCCCCTCGCCACTGCCCGCCTCCGCTCCCGGGTCCGTCTTGCCTCCTTCGCCCCCTTCCTCCATCTTCTCGGGCTCCGCAATGGTTCCGGCGATGCCGCTGGCATCCAGGAGGTGGTTGTCGGTGCTCATGCCGACCCGGGCCGAGTCCTCGATGCGTTTGACGTGAGTGTGGACCAAGGCGGTGGGCACCTCCTCTTTCATCTTGCTGAACTCCGCTGAAAATCAGAACAAATTCCAGAAATCAAGAAATAGTACAAAAATGTTGGTTTTGACAACAGGCATGCTCAAAAGTCACAGACGTTTGCAAGTGGTAAATGCATATCAATGATGGAATGCATCGGCATACACTAAAAAAAGGGGTGTACTGTTTGCATTTACTTCCATACTTCAGTTTCTGATCGTTTCCAAAAAATTCTTTATGCCTCAGCCCAGACATGCCACCAATATGTCAATAAAAAGCCTGAAACACTACTAAAAAACCTGAAACTACCCTTACCCCCTTTCAAAAATGTGTTTTCTGGATGTTTCAGACCAAATACAGGCTGGATGAGAACATGTCCCTGGATGCTGATTTTGGGCGCAATTCAATACATGACTCGGCACCTTTAGACTTGAAATCGAGATCGTAGAATGTTGTTTTTCTCGGAATATACAGAATTCACTGAGCTTAAACTTCATCAGGTTCATTGTTAAGCACCCGTCTTTAGATTTTGAGCACTTTTGTTGCTTCAAAGGAAACAAATGCACAAATGACAAATGATCTACCCTACCTTTAAACAAAAATAGCCCAAATGATTCTGACTAAATAACTTAGGCCGCGCCAAAAATACTTGGCTAAAGCTTACATGCCCTGTTCAAGTAGCTAAAGCCATTTCCAGTCGTCATAACCATAGCCATAACCACGTAATTTGGATATGGCCTTATTTTCAGCCTCCCTCTGTATTTGAATCTTCTTTTCCAATCTTCCATCATTTAGATCTTACCGATAGCAGCCTTGGCGGCAGCGCTAGCCACCCTTGGATCCACGGCCGACGCCAGGAAGGCTACAGTGCTCATGAGGGGATTGCCGGACTGACTGAAAGGAATGGGCTGATAACTAAGTGGTCCTGGAAAACAAACAAAAGAAATACAGGTGGAAATACGTTATTAGATTTGATTTTTCACTGGATTTAGGGAAAGTCCCAAACTTGAATGTCAGAGGTCACTCTAGAACTTCTTTGACCCTAACCTTCCCAAATCCTCCAAAATCCTCTTTGCAAAATGGAGGATTTTGCAGGATTGATGCTATATGTGTGGCTGATTTTGGAGGATGCACTGTGTCAAGGTCTTGGGCCAGACCTTGTGTTGTTTATGCTCAGCCGTACATCAATTTAGGCCTATATTATACCTGAAATCCTCCGCACTGCTCCAGGATGTTACTGGCTCTGCCTCAACATATTGACAGTGATTGCTGGAGGATTTTGCAGGATTGAGGCAGTGATCACCCTCCAAGGACCACATTCAAGAAATAGCAGAGGATTTTGCAGGATTGAGGGCAGTGGCCACCCCTCCAAGGACCACATTAAAGAAATAACGGAGGATTTTGCAGGATTGAGGCCGCATGCTATTTTTACATGGAGGCAGTTGGAGGATTTTGCAGGATTGAGGCTACATCCTAGCAAAAAGGCCCAGGGAGTTAGGGTTAATCCTATCAATATTATGAGAAAACGTTTTAAAATGGGTAGGAAGCTGAAAGAAACGATCAAAATCTTTGTCTCTGGTGTGGCGTCTTGCTTTACCTAGTGCATTGGGTCCATCCTCCAGATAGGTATCTTCGATGGGTAATCTGAGGAAGTGCAGGATGCATTCATCTTGGGTGCGAGAGCCTACGTGCTCGGAGACTTTGTTCCAGTCGTCGCGGTACATCTCCAGGGCTTCTAGGAGGAGCAGCGTTTCCTGGTCCGTCCAATCCTTGGTAATGCTGGCCGAGGCCGACTTGCTCTGTAATTATCAATAAGAACCAGAGTGACATTGACAAATGGCAGTGAGTCCTCAAGCGACAATGACAGTGAGTGTCGAAGTGACAAAGGCAGTGACAATGAAAGTGATGACAGTGAAAAAGATTGACAATGGCAGTGACAATAATGGGAATGACAGTGACAATTGCAGATACAAGCAATGACAATGTCAATGACAATGCTGGTGACACTGGCAGTGGTAATTATTGACAATGGCAGTGACAATAATGGAAATGACATTTTGACAATTGCAGATACAAGCAATGACAATGTCAATGCTGGTGACACTGGCAGTGGTAACGACAATGACAATGGCAGTGGTTATAAAATGAACATGACACTGACAATGAAAAGACTAAAACACTGACACTGACATGGACAATCAAGTATCACTCTTTAGAGGGCACTTTGGACCAACTTGAAATGGGCACTGTGAATGGTGCTAATTCAAACAGAAAAACAACTGAAATCGTTCACAAACTGCAGTTAATTCTCAGGAGCTGGCTTCTAAATGCATGATTCCAAAATTTGGTAGTTACATTGAGGACCGACTCTGATCACTTTTTGTACAGAACACTCAGAACACACACTCTTTGTTTTTCGTAGTCAAGTTGAACCCCCAAATTCTCACTATAGGACATTATTTATGCTCAGTAACTCAAGTCAGTCAGTTAGTGAAGGACAGAGAATGGACAGGTGGATGTGGGGGATGGTGGGGGGAGGGTGCTTTGCAGTACCCACCTTGGAAGGCTGAGGTTTCTTGGATGCATACAGGTCCGTCCGCAGGCCAAAGTTCTGCAGGTCGTTGCTGGGCTTGTCTTTGTTCCCTCCCTTGTCAGCCAGGTTGGCAACTTGCTGCGAGGCCGACTAAAGTCAACAAATACATCAACAACAACAAAAACGAAGCTTTATTTAACATGTACCACCATGACTAGGATTTGAATCTTGGTCGACAGGTGGAAGGCAAAGGAAGACAAGGATAGGTATCACTAAATTGACACGACCTGACTTCCTGTTATTCACAACAAGATGTCTTTGGCAATAACAGGCAGCGTTACTGGAAATCTGCATTTCAAGGCATAGCTATTTCAGCCGAGTTTTAAGGCCAACAGAATCAAAACCTTTTTTCTGGAAGTCAATGAGGCAACGAGGCTTTGCCTCAACCACTTGGCGGGTAGGTGGCTTTGCCGACTGTCGCCCCACTTCGCCAGCAGGCGCCCGCTTTGTGGGTGAGCCTAATTTGCATGCGCAACTCTCGAACACACGCGTACACCTTTTCCGCTTTTTAGTATAGCAGTACAAGTAACTGGGCTTGCATAGTTGTGATGGACTCAAACAGTCTTCTTTTAAGACGTTCGGTGACTCGGTCAGTCAATCAATTATTCAGTCACTCAGAAGTGGGCTGGTCCTTCACAGTAATTAAGTGAGAATGTCTAACTGAAGGCTCAAAATTACTGACTTAAAAATTGAAGAAAAAAAATTGTTGTAATCAAAACACTGGCATCCACTAGGACAAACAGATTGAAGATTTTGAAATACAGTTCAAGAAATTTCACGCTCTCCCACCTGTTGTGATTTGGCAGGCTGCATGGGCTGCAATCCGGAGGGCGTGTCTGCCAGCACATGGAAGTGGGAGGTAGGCGGAGGCCCCATCGGAGCGGCACGGTTCTCAGCATCCACCTGGTAGTTGATGAGACCCCACTGCTCCAAGAAAGCATGCACTCTGAAGTGTAAGAGGAATTAAAAAGGACTTTTTTACTGAAGGCTTTTCACACTATTGCCTCGCCTACCCATGTTAAAATCAACATAGGTCCACTGTGAGAGGAACTGTGTCCCATCAAACAAAGGTAGGCAAGGAATCCCGTTCACACGTATACTGGTGTGTTCATGAGTCGGGTGTCAATTTTGGATTTTCTACTTCAGCAGAGCTGGTCCCGACCAGGATTGAATTTTACCCGTGGTAAAGCACTGGACCCGTGTACAAGCCGTGCTGGATGCTTGCTAGTGTGAACGGAGTTGCCAATGACTCGGGGTCTGGTCTGGGACTAACACAGAAATTTTGGACAGTGTGATTGGGCCTTAAAGTAATTATGTAGGGTTATGTGAAATGCATAAGCCATTTCACGGATACCACTATCTTTTGGTGCTCGAGACTCCCGGGTGGAGAGAGACAATTGTAGTAAAGTGTCTTGCCCAAGAACACAAGCACCATGTTCCCAACCAGGGTTTGAACCCACATACCAAGGCCCCGTTGGAACACAGCGCTCCACGCAATAGCTTAAGTGGTAACCCATTTTTGCTCGGCAAATAATTTTCTGCGTTTAGAAGTTCACGAAATTTGCCAAAGATGTCAAAATAACAATGCGAGAACTTTTCACTGAAAGGCAAAGATGACAAAAATTTCTTTTTTTTTTTTTACCTCATGATGGCACAGACATCTCCAGCCAGGTTTCTGCGGCAAGCTGTGAAGGTGAGGTACTCGGTGGGGTTCAGACGATACGTGTCAATCATGAAGTTACGATACGCCATGAACCTGTCCGGGAAAAAAAAGGGGAAATTTAAAAGCATGAGGTCACAATGCTAAATCTTGGGCATCTATCTTTCATTGAAGCATGTCTGCAGTGTTGCAGTCGAGGTGTTTGTGATGGATGACGTGTTGTCAGAAGTTCCTCACAAGTCAATCACAAGTCCATCACAAGTCATCCACTCCCAAGTCAACACACAGATCATATGTGACCGGCTTCGCAAAAAAGGGTATTAAGTTGTGCTGTGCATTATTGTGTAATGGCACGCTCAACATTGAGAGGGTGAAAATTTTGTCAAAATGTGATTTTGCTTTTTTTGTCATGAATGACATCTTTAATACCTACAGTTTCAGGTTTCATTCACAGAAATGTTAATTTTGATAAACAAACTGGAAAAACAACCATTTTGTGTGTATTGTTCCGTTGTTCTTCAACAAAGCCAGCTATTTCAAAGCCTGTTTTCTCAGTTGTGCAATTTGAACTCCAAGGAAGTAAGTAATATGTAAATACGTCATTTCCCCAGAACGGGAGGGGCTATGGAGCTCTATTATATACCAAATGAAAGCTTACATTGTGAGCTTTCCAACCATGTATATAACTCAGTTTCAGTTATATGAAACATGTATAACACATATGATCTGTAACGTAGGCATTCCTTTGTCATTGTCCTTCCCCTGTTGCTTGTGACTGGACTTATGATGGACTTGTGACCCATCACAGGGACCTGGACTGCTACACTGCCCGTCTGTCTGTGGTCAGATACTATCTAGCAATGGGAGATTGTCATCGGAGTCTCGACTCCTAATCTACCCAATGGGTTATACATCATTCCACAGACAAAGAAACTTTTGCTCACAAAAGTAACAAACATTTTTCACGGCTCGCAATCCCATACTCGATTCAACTCCAATTGGTGGAACGGTTTGATGACGATTGACTGAGTCCTGAGAGAATTTCCACTCAAAGGGCAAAGCCTATAAAGTTGGATGCAGTGGTTTCGTGCCTTGATTTTTATATATTATATACATTTTATAAATAATGTTTTCATATGTTATTTTCTCAGTGTCGCAGATAATGATAAGTGATTATTAAACCTTGAAGTGACCATAGCGGCCACAGCCAGCCATAATTTGCCACCTCGAAAATTGTTTTGTTTTTTTTAATCTGATCACTTTAGCTTTCCAAAAGGTATTAGCTCGTGTATACTATTACGTTGGTGCTTGGTAACTTCCAAGAATGACTTCAAACAATTCTTCATTTGTTGGATAGGTAGTTTGGTATTCACAATCACTCTACAAAGACGACAGTATTAAGGAGTGTATCACTGATATCAGATGTAACAGGGACTGGAAAAATAGCAATGACAAATAATGATGTCTGTCGTTATATAGCGCCCTCCACCAAAGCTAGGTCTCGAACCGCTTAACAGTTATTACCCCTGTTCATCAGGCCATGAGACCTCTTTTCTGCAGCCGAGATCAGCGCAGTCTGGTCTCTAGCCTCAGAGGTACCAATTTACGCTCCTGGGTGGAGAGAGGCAATTGAAGTAAAGTGTCTTGCCCAAGAACACAAGCACCGTAACCATTGGAATGACCGATACAGCATCTTTTGATGAAGTTGTTCCTCGGCACATAAATCTGCTAAGTAAATATTGTCTGCTTAGCAGCTGCATGATATTGAAAACCCTGATTTTTTTTTTACTTACACCTCGGCCGTCTTGGACTTGTTCTTAGCGTTGAAGAATTCGGGCAAGGCCCTCCTCTCGATGGCGTGCATGCTGTTGTAGTCAAACCAAGCCGAGTAGCTGGGCACGATGATGTGATGCGTCTGCTCCGTCACTTGCTCCTCTTGCGTCTCGGGAGCTTTGTTCTCTTTCTCCTCGAGCTCGGCGCCGGTTACCAGAGCCCCCGATTCCCCGTTCACCTAGACCCAGAGACAACGTGACAATTTAAATAATTCGCAGGCTGAACCAGTGGACGTTGGAGTAGTCAAACTAGCAGTGGACCCTTCCGGATTTGGCAATAAGCTCCGCCCACTTTTGGTTTGTGTTTGTTACTTACCGTGCTTTAAAGGTAGAGTAGATATTTGCAGCTATCCAAAAAGTAACTGACCAAATTATGGTTAAAAAAACTTACTTGATTTAAAGATAGTAATGGTACTAAACTCCCTTTTGTCATTATAAAACAAAGGCCAGAACTGACTGTTTTTTATTCGTAGTCATCAGATTTTCTGTTTGGCGCCTGTGGTCAGATACTATCTAGCAATGGAAGATTGTCACTGGAGTCTCATCTCCTAATCTACCCAAGGGTTTGTACATCACTCCACAGATACAGAGAGGAAGCAAAAATCATGAAGCTTGTTTAATGGCATGCTGTCATTTTGAAGAAAACAATAAAAGAAGGCCATTTCCAATGGGTGACGTCATTGTTTACATGTGCGCTTTCCTATGTGGTAGACGGTCCCTACTTCGTCTAGCGTCCCGACTTCCCTCCCATAGGAAAGCGCATATGTAAATAAAGCCATTACGTCAATAGGTGTTAGGTCTATTGAAATCGAGATCCTAGAAAATTGTTTTCTCTGAATATACAGCATTCGCAGAGCTAAAACTCATCAGGTAAGTTGTTAAGCACCCGTCTTTAGATTTCGAGCACTTTTGTTGCTCAAAACAAAACAAATGCACAAATGACAAATGATCTACTCTACATTTAACATGACTGAGCGTGACTTCGCTACCATGGTCACCTGACCAAAAAGCTGAGATCTAATTGGTTGATGCGCGCGCAATGTCTACTAGACAGGCAGGAAGAGCCCATTATGGATGGTGCTAAGTTTGTGTAATCAATTAAGAACATAATGGAAAATGTTTGACGACAGTAAGACTTTGTTGGAACTTTGGTTTCATGTGGATATTTCCTTGAATTGAGGAGCTCAATGCCTTCAATGCTGAATCCAACAAACGGATTCTGATGAGTTTTGTTAGATGTTGACTTCTTTCACAGGTGAAGAGAAACTGTTGGATTCTATCAAATTCAAGGAGTTTCAAACTCTTCTCTTGTTGGATTCTGTTGGAATCAAGAGGCTTCGGGATTTCTGTTGGTCACTTGATTCGGAACGGTAGAGAGAATATCTTGAGGGTTAGGAGAGGGGTTAGTGAGAAGAGACCAGTTGCCTAGGTTACCTTGTCCTGCGATTCGTTCTGTGAATCGTCCAGTTCCTGCAGTGAGCCTCCCTTGATTGGCTGAAGCTCTGTGTCCCGACCACTGCGACTTGACACTGTGCAAAGAGAAAAACACAACACATGTTCAAATGTGACTGCATATAGAGAGCATTTACATCGTCGTTATAAAACAAAGGCCAGGACTGCCTTTTTTTTCATACTCATCTAAAAAATGTTGTTTGGCGTCTGTGGTCAGATACTATCTAGCAATGGGAGATTGTCACTGGAGTCTCAACTCCTAATCTACCCAAGGGTTATACATCACTCCACAGATACAGAGAGGAAGGAAAAATCACGAAGCTTGTTAATTCCTTAACCCCAACTCCCTAGCATGATTTACTAGGAACCATACCCATCCAGGCAAATTCCAGCACAATATGGGAAAGTATTTCTGACTTTGAATCTGGAGGTGTGCCTACCCAATGTTAAATACTGTCAGTTTAGGGGTACTGTACCCATCCTGACAGATTCCAACAAAACATGCCATTTGGGGTTTGAGGGGTTGAGTTCTGTTAGGGTTAAGGAAGTGTGCAAATGTAGAAAGCACATTTCCAGATTAAAGACACCTAGGAACTTTGGTAATTACTGGCAATGCACCAAGATGGCCTTCACCTCCCCTCACAGACATTTAATCCTCCCACTTTTTCACGTTCAATTTATACTCGTCACAAAACACTTACTAAGCATTCTGTCATCGCCTTCCTAGCATTTCATGGTACTAAAAAGCTCTGAACACCACTACAACTGTCGTAACAGCATGTATGCACTAAACAATTACGCACATGGGTTTTGCCAGACTCCATGTCTTTTCAATAACTTTTTTCTTGGATTATAAACTTTCCATGACTCCTTGTAAAATAACAAACTGCCACGACTTTTCAATGACTTTCCATGATAGCTTTAAACTCCAGGATTGTTTCTATGACTGTGGGAACCAAATACATGTGAAACAGTCCAAGCTATGTATCCTTCTTACAAAGCTTTTACGAGTGGTGATGATGTGCTATCTGCGTTCAAGTATGGAGTCCACACATCAGAATGAAATGTTACCTATTTTGGGCAGTTGGACCTCTTCCACAGCTGGTATAGTGGACGGGTTGTCCATGTCCTTGGTCAAGTCTTCGGGCTCCTCGTCACGGGGAATTCTCTTCTTCATGATTGGTGCTGGGCTCCGACCGCTGTAAACAGATCAGCCAATCAGAGATAAATGTTTGTAATTTTAAACATTACGTGTTTAAAAATAAATGCTTTTAAAAATAGTTTGTGGCCGTCTGAAATATCTTTGTTTGTGAGTAATTCTGGCAAAATGACGCAGAACTTGGCAGAGGTCCAAAATGAGGGTTTGTGGGTATCAGGAAAGCGAATAGAATGCTCTTTACAATACTGTTTTTAGATTTCAAACAGACTTTCTGTTAACAAGTTATGGCTGTTTAAATTTCGCATTTATCGATATGTCAAAAAAGTAAAATACTGAGAAAAAGCAATTAAGTCTCAAGTTTTGTAGTCATGAAAATGAAAGATGCCAACTGTTTTTCCTTAAAAACAGTTTTATACCACATATCAAAGATTACAAATGTCATTAAATCTGAAATTGGGAAAAAAAACTCATTCGTTTGTTTGCTGTTTCTCCACTCCGCCTGTACCCAGTTCCATCTCAGTTTCCCACAACACCTCACATTTTGAATATCTGAAAACCACTGGTTTTTATAAGACAACATGTTCTGCCTGTGTGCGTTTTGTTTAACTTAAACACCAATAAATGCAGCTCTTTGGTGACGGGAAATTTGACAAGAGTTTCTCTTACGGTTTCTTTTTCCTCTTGTCTGAGGTCGGCGAGGGAGACCTCTTTCTCTTCTTCCCGGCTCCTCCTCTCTTCTCTCTCCTGTCTGCTTCTGGACTGTGGGCATGCTACGATAAAACAAAACAATTTAACTGGAATTTCAAACCTTACATTTTCTAACAACCATCATATTTCTGAGTAAAGTTTTCTTGTGCAAGTCTCATGACCGCTGGGGGCTCCGTGCACACGTACCCCCTCAACAGTACGAAAGGGAGATTTTGGGGCAGACGACTACGAGAGAAATTCGGACACACCATGATTCATCTTGTTGATTGTGACCTTTACCACAGCAGCACATATACCGCGCTTGTTCAAGGGGACCAGCTGTATAAGGGGAATAAATTGAAATCCTGTCTTGGATCAAGGCTACCACAGACGCCTAGGCAGTTTGGCGTTAGGATTTTTTATCTTTGGATCTTGCGACGTTAGTAGCAATCATTCTGGAGGGGTTTAGAACCACCTACCTCATCTACCATGGGTTTGGTCGGGTACACCTTCCGCCTCAGATTCCCTGATGCAACATTGACGACTTCTTTGGCATCACCCTGCAAAACACAAGCAAAACAACGGATGGATCATCGAGTCCAAATAATTTGGTATTTTAGAAGAATTTTATGAAGTAATTTGAAAATAAATTATTCTCACAAGGATTTTTTTTTTTTAACTTACGGCACAACTAATTTCTTGTTTGTGGTCATTGTTAGATTGTGTCCATTTATTTCACGTTTACTGAATATGATAATCGTCAGAAACTATGAATTTATGATTACCTTCAGAAATTGATGTCATTAAACAGCATCAAAGTGTTAACTTTGAAAAATATATCATTGATCGTATAGTGTGAATTGCAGAGAATTTTTAACATTTGAAATACGATTCGCAATCAATTTAACACCTTGAACCCTCCTGGTCTTCTGCACTTCACAACCCTTCAAGTTTTGCAAAACCACTTTTGCCCACAGAGTTAGCGCCCACACTTCAAAATTCCTTTGAGGTAATCTTCTGTGGAGTATGGACAACACTTCAAATCCCTGCACAATTCTTTTGTATGGTTAAGCTCGAGCAAGCAGGCAGATTCGGTCACGCTTCACTGCTCTCCACAGTGCTGTTTTTGTGCAGTGACTCTCTGTGTGACACACTTTACTCTAACACTTCCACATCCCTTCACCTGAAGCTGACCTGCAGGGTTTTAAAGGGTTTTACACACTGCTCTGAATACTGACGTCTCACCAGAAAGGTTCACTTCTTCATGTAAGAGTGCACTCAAACTGTAATGGGAAATTACTGGTGAATTTACTCACGTCTTCGTATATTTCATAGTCTTCAACGTTCATCCACTCGTTGAACTCCTCAAGATCCAGAATCCACTTGGCATTCAACTGAGGGAGGTAAAAAAAGGGCGACTCACATAGTGACGCATATGGTGATAATGAGAGTGAGAACACGAGGATTTACTTTTTCAGGTCAGCTTATTCATAAATGAATTACAAAACAGGGCAGGACTGGGCATTTTAATTCGTGCAGAATCTTTCTCGAAGCCAGAATTTTACTTGCAAAATTGCCCAGTGTCATTAACCTCCAAACAAATATCTTTAAAGATGCACATTTTATTTTCCAAAGCAGACATTTTAAATACAAATGTAAAGAGTTTTCAGATTGCAGGATTTTAAATGTATGTGGTGGGGATGGGCATGGGCGTCGCCAGGATTTTTTCTAGAGGGGGGCAAAAAATTGTTTTGCCAAAAATGCTTGCATTTCTCAACATATTCTCGATTTATCATTTTTAGAGGGGGGCAGGGACATTTTGCCCCCCCCTCCCAACTCATTCAATTTACACCACTTTGTCTTCAAGCCTCTTTTTCTTTTCTTTTTTCTCTTTATTTTTCTTCTTCTTCTTCTTCTTTTTTTTTTGGCTTTTCCAGGGGGTTTTCCATGGGGATGGGGTAGGGTGGTGGGGATGGGGTGGGTGGGGGCAGGGCGGGGATGGGTTGGGGGCAGGATGGGAATAGGGTTGTCTTGTGTGGGGATGTGGCTTACCTCCCATGGGCCATCATAGGTGGTGCCCGGCTCAGGGTCCCCAGGGACCTCTGCCGCAGGTACCCAGGTGTCGTAGCTGTCTGGATAGTAGCACCAATGGACAAGCATGGACTTCTCCCGGCGTACGATGGGGCGAATGTACTCCTCCCCTGAAACAGGAAATAAGAATGTATCATGAATGACAACCCTCACAGGGGAGTTTGTGAGTGCTACGGTTATATTTCTGACGGAACAGACTGACAATCCTCCGCTATTCGATTGGTCTCCACTTACCTTCATTCAAGGAGGGTGGAGCTCCGTAGACAATGTGTGTCGCCAACTCAATATCATCCGTGACTGTGCCCTGGAGAAGGAACCAATATTGAAACTTAAAGAAACATCTTTAATGCAATGTCGTAACTTGAGGTAGCAGTTGACTTACCAAGGGGGTGGTGTCAACCCCCCCCCCCCCAATTATCAATCCCCTCCCCCCTCCCTCACCCGGGATTATCCCATTATTTGTTTTTGATGGAAAATGTTGTCCTGTCAGCAAACTAAGCATATGATGCAATGAATAGCGTCACCTATTGTCTGACTGTGTCCAGTCTCGCAGACGCTTTGAATAGCGCCCTCATTAGTCAGATGGTGTCCCGCATCCAACCCCCACCCCCCCATTCCAGCACAGAGCGGTCTGCTGGCAATTTACTTACACGTCCACTCCCCCCAAATCAAAAACAACGGTCTATTATTCCATGCCACTGCGCAACAACACATGTGCCTTTCCAGTGTCGCCAACTTAACCATAACTTTCCAAAATCCTCTTTGCAAAATGAAGGATTTTTGCAGGATTGAGGCTATATGGCAAAAATGTGTGGCTGATTTTGGAAGTTGCACTGTGTCAAGGTCTTGGGCTGGAACTTGCATTGTTCATGCTCAGTTGTGCATAAATCTAGGTCTAGATTATACGCACTGCTCCAGGATGTCACTGGCTCTGCCTCAATATTGACAGTGATTGCTGTAGGCTGTATGCCATTTTTACATGGAGGCAATTGGAGAATTTTGCAGGATTGAGGTTGCATCCTAGAGTGTGTGAGGATAACTGGATTGTTCTATTGGCCTGGCGACACCCACTGACCAACCTGATGTCTCTTGATGATGTCCTTCAGCTTGTTCATCATCTTGGGCTCCACCTCGTCCTGGATGTAGACCACGGGCAAGGAGAGGCAGCGCGTCTGCAGCAGGTTCTTCTCGATGCTCATGAACATCTCCACGTTGCGGTCCATGCGGGACGGCGACTGGAAGTCAAACCGCCGCCTGGGTAAAGAATCCAGGACGTCTTGAGCGCAACTTCTTTCCAATAAGATACAATGTAATCTGATTCTGCTTATAGCTTTTAAGGTGACAATTTATTCAAAGTTGTTGAATATTTAATTTTGAAATTTACTAACTATAAACTTAAATACTTTTTGTGTAATCCTAGTGAGGGCAGCAGACCCAGTACAAGCTTCTGCTTGTTGCTTAAGCCTCTATATTAAACTTAGTTCCATTGTGTTTACCTGTGTCTTGATCTTCATTATAATAGCATGAAATGAACTTGAAAATGTCTGATTGAACGTAATTTAGGTTTACATACAAAAAAGTGAACCCTAGTTCTAACACAATCTTTATTTCAACATTGCTCAGGACATGGTACAACACTCCTCATACATATCGCACTGAAGGAAAATCGGGTTACAAAAGAAATTTCCAAAATACTCAATTTACTGAATGAATAAAAGATACAAAAATTGAAGTCATTCTCCATGTTACTCTCAGTTTAAATATGTTAAACCTACCATCCTTGGTCGCTCTTGAACTTGTAGACGGCCATAAGAATATTGCATAGTCCACCTCCGGACTTGAAGTCCATAAAACAACGCAACTGTAACAATAAAATAACAACTAATAATGGTATCTAATATCAAACTGTAATAATAATCAAAACTTAATCCCTGATCAATTGATCTATTTGAAAAGAACTTTTCATTTCTTTATTTTTTTTTGGGGGGGGGGGAGCACCCATAACAGAAAGATTACAGAGAAGGGAATCCCTATCAACAGCCTCCCAAGCCTGCAATTGCTGAATCTGAAACAGACCCGTCAAATCTGAGCCCAACTCAGGATTCAAGAACAATTTTACGAATGCCACACAATTCAGTCCATTTAACAGTGCTCTTTGACAATGTAATGCAAATTCTGCCAATTTTTAGTGATCCCAATTTTTGATGATTTTGATTTCGGGGACAAATGCATCAGGAATGTGGTCTTTATTTCTTGTCCTAGCTGACCAGCCTGCTCCAATGTCATAACTTTCCAGGCATTTTTCAGAGGAAAATTTGCAGGAAACCACAGGCATATTCTTCACTGGAAGTTTCAAGGGCATCAATCAAGCCAAGGACTCTATGCACCAATAGAACAGACAGTGCTTTTCAACAGCTTTTGAGAGCCCAATTGAGGAGGACACACCACACATGTGTACGAAGAATTTTATCCTAAGAAATTTAAAGCACTAAGCAACAGCATCTTCGCATCAATGTTAGGCATCATCCTAAGGCTCTACTTTCCTCTATCCTACAAAATCATCCCAAATCTCCTACAGGATTTTGTAGGATCAAGGAGGGTTTGGGACCATGTTGCCAAGACGAATGAACTACTCACTGGCAGTCTGGTGAGGGCAGGGTTGCTGACGTGTCTACCGAACGCATCTTCCTGGAACTGCAGCAGCTGCGCCAGCAGCGAGGCCAAGCCCTTGTTGGTGGGTGGCTCTGCTTGAATCCACTGTAATGAAGAAAAAAGACAAAAAGCGGCTTTGTGTCAAATGTTGTGGTCTTAACTATTCTGTGCCACATGGGTGGGAAATGCAACTAGATATGATGAGCTGAAGATGACATAATCACAAGGAATCTCCAATTAAGAGACAAATTTCACCAAAAGGAACCATTGGAAAGTGTTCATTTTGGTGAAATTGTGTTCATTTGGGATGCTTGGGCATATTGGGTAAAGGAACCCCCATGTAAAGTATCAGGCCGAAATATTTACATACAAAGATGCCATCATTTTACCAACTTTTTGTACTCGCATTGTGTGGCCCTACTTTTTTATAGCACAGTTTACTCCAGTGAGTGGCCATAGAAATCTTGAATAGGGCTATATTAAATGACGCTATTTTTAAAAATAATTTTGAACAGTATTTTTTACTAGAAAATGCAGTATTCTGGCACATTTTACAATTGATCCCATGCAAATCAATACACGCGGTTTTGCGCATTCATGGAGCATGGCAGTGATCGTTATCTTATTTTCTTTCCCATTTTATCGTTTTCCTCACGGTTTTAGGCCTACCCCAAAATTTATAAAAAAATGTTGCAACCTGACGTCACTTCCGCGATTGTGTACAAAGTCTATGGAGAGTCAAGAAAATTTTCTTCTATTTTTCTAAGTATTTCCTAACAAAATTGGAAATGTTTCTCAGTCCCAGATTCATGTCTTATCATCATTTTTGCAATGAAAGACCTTCATTGAGATGATATTTGAAGAAAAAAGTGGCGTTAGCTTGCAACATTTTTTCCCAAAATTTCCTCAAAAATTCAAAACTGCTCTATTGTCTTGTCTATCAATTATCATTATCAATCATCATGTCCATCCTTTATGTTGTGACTGTTGGTTGTAAATGTTGCGACTAGTTTGGCAAATTCAGTAACTTAAAAATGGATTCTTGTTCTCTAGTAAGATTAGGGCCCCAAACTACACAATCACCAATCGCGTATCTACACTAGTCTACAGTACACCGTACCGCAATGGCAATGCTTACTGTGTTAAACATGATGAACGCTTTGTCAATGGCACTCGTGCAGTCGAACAACAAAGACGGAAATGGGCGATAGATTCAAAGTATCACTGAGCACAAACTACATCACCAAAAAAGCTATTTTTACGACACAGAGCTACCTACCTTCTTGCAGTTTCTCTGTAACCATGATTTCACGTTATCGAGTTGCGAAATCGTATCAGCAGACTCAAAAAACTTAAAATCTGCCCCTCCATCCTTTTTTCTGACAGCCATCTTTGTACACATTTTTACCGTAGTCAGCAGTTGCTGCTTCAATTCATCTCAAATCTTTTAAATGGATTATAAATTTAATCAAAATATCACTGAAAAGAGAGCATTAAAAACAAACATTTAATAATAAACACTATTTCATTTTTTAATTTACAAAATTATCTTTGTTTGAACTTTTTGTGATTATTTTATTTTATGAGACATGTGACAACTATGGTAAATTAAAATTGGTCACAGCGCCCTCTTTCAACAGTACACAAGCGCAGCTAGCGCCAGACGCACCGTACCGACGGCGATTTTTTTTTCTACACCACATAATCGCTATGAGCACATAGCAAAGTGTTTTTTTCCACTAGAGGAAGCACTCATGGTCAAAAATAATCTCCCATATTGAATTTCGGGTACATTCTTTGAAAATTTCAGGGATTATTCATGAAACACTTTCCAACCCCAGACGAACGTTTTCCGAGTATTGTTTTTTTCAGCTGATGATTAAATGAAGAATAGACACTTGTTGTTTTTCCTCCATGAGTAGGCTTACCATTTCCCCAACCAGTGTTCGCGAAATAAACTCAAAAAGGAGAGGCCTTTAATTATCAAGACTTTTTGCAGCAGATAAAAAATTGAATTTCAAATAACATGTTGAAACACAGTTTTGGACAAATTTTCTCTTCGGGGGGCGGGACACCTTTCACAATTTGGGGGTGGGGACAAAATGAAATTACAACATACTAGTACAAGTCCCGCCCATGTCAATTTTATCTAAGCAGTAATTTATCAAGCAAAGTTTCAAATTGTAGGTTTGTTTATTTAAAGTCTTTTTAAAAAAAATTCAAAATTTCAGTTAGATTTTTTTTTTTTTCATATGCAAGATGTGCCCCCTTTTTTATGAAAAAAATTGTGACACGCCCCCAAACGGAACAACAAATTTATGATTTGATATGTAAATATTCTGTCCACCCCCACTCAATATACTGGATGGGAAAAACCACACCAAGATTACCCGTTACAGCTAGATTTTCTAACAACGTTTGTCCCCCACTGATATAAAATGTGGCCCCACCCCAAAAGAGGCAGAATTCTGGATTTTTATTCTCGTGATGTACATGTAGCACTTGGATGTCTACCAGTAGGCCAAAAAAGTGAAATTGTCTGAATCAGGGTTTTTTGCACACAAAGCCACCTATTTTGTATGGCATGTCCCCGCCCATAAAAGGGTCAGAAAAAAAAATTGCATCAAGCAGTTTTGAACTTGTTGAAGTGATCCAGAGAGTTTCAAAGAGTGCTTATGGGCCCAACAAGCCCACTGACTAAATTCTGAATGGTTCTAAAATTATCTCCATTAAATCTTCAAACGGGAAGAAGTGGGCCTGGGCGAGGAATCCATTTTCTTGAACACCAAATAAAAGAGACAAAGAAGCTTACATTTTCATGAAATTACATTGTGTTTATGATGTCAACTCGGTATATACATGAATGCTATATGATTCCATATTCCATACATGTAGAAACGTTTGCCAGGAAGCAATCACACAAAAAATGATGTCGTGTCTTTATACAAAAATAGCACATTGAAATAATCTAATCATTTGAAATTAGCAGCGTAGGCCAAATTTAGAAAGCTACCAAGCAGATATGTGAATGTCGTCCCTTTAAAAAAAAAAAAAAAATTAATTTGAAATCTTTTTTATTTTTATTATTTTTTTGTAAATCTTACATTCCGAACATCTTGCTTCGCAACCGGATACAACTTTTGATTTTGAACCTTGCAATTCTTACTGGAAAGCAGAAACATACTTCTGGCAAAATCTATTCCAGCTAAGCGTTTCTTTAAATCCACCCGGAAACTCTCTAAAAATGGCCCGTGTGATGTTGAAGACGACATGCACACAATGTAAAATGTTTTATCTCCTCTATATGTACACGCTCCCGATTATAAGCTTATAATCAAAGCCGAGGACTCTTTTTCACATTGAATGTGATCATGTCCGCTGAACAACAGCTCAATAAATTAATGCGATCTATCATACATAATGCTGTGCACAATCCCAGCACTGGCTTCCACTATATCAAACGTACAACGTGAAAAACAAAAACGAAACGAAACATACGAAACTTGCAATCGCTATTTTCTATGTACACGTTTGTTTGTTTTTAAAGTAGCATGATTCAACACTTGAATAGCATCGTGGTTTGCACCGAACCACACAATATTACAGCCATGGACATTTTACTACATACGATGGTGTGAAAAATTTAGACATGATTTTTGTTTGTGTCACAAGATCTATGCTCATGTTTTTTCAGTGAATAAATTTTGGCCTTTAATTACTAACAAGATGTATGCATTTCACAGCTTAATTTTGTAGTTTTTTTATTTTTTAGTTGTTTTTTACCGAAGGCAACCTTGGCCAAATAGTGGCCACATTATAAACCGCTTGATTTTTGACATCTGATTACTATACCTAAAGTCTGGTTCAACGCAAATAAACAAATGTTGCATATTAACCCTAACAGAACTCAACCCATCAAACTCCATGCAACAGCATGTTTTGTTGGAATCTGTCTGGATGGGTACAGTACCCCTAAACTGACAGTCTTTTACATTGGGTTGGCACACCTCCAAGAACCAAAGTCAGAAATATGTGTGCACAGTTTCCAATATGGTGTTGGAATTTGCCAGGATGGGTATGGTTCCTAGTAAATCATGATAGGGAGTTAGGGTTAATAACCATTTCACCAACGGTGATGCTGAAGGTATGCAGTGAAATCCACTTAGTTTACTTTTTCACACTTTTGCTGGGTGTTTCTGAGCTTTTCGCCAACCTTTTTTCAGACAGACATTTAACCCAGGCAAATACCCAACAAGTTTATACTTCTGAAAATGGTGAATGCTAAAGTGTTGATACTTTAAAATCATGTTTTCGCATTACTTTTATGGTATACATTTTAAACCTATTTGTGCTGAACTTACTTATAATAACTATGATCTCAATGTTAAAGAGTCAAATATGCATTATAAGTGTGACAATTCTGTGTAAAAGTGTAATAAATGCCATCAACATTTAGCAGTGGATATAGTTTGTGATATTCAAATTTTTGAATTGTTACTTCATGAAAGTGTAATAATATGCAAGAAAGTGCTGAAACTTAAACCGAATAGCCAGGAAGTACAATTTTAGGGACAAACTTGAGTACGTTCACACCCAAAAGTTACTTAACACAAAATAAATACAAATAAATAAATAGGATACTCTGTCGATCTAGAATTTGTTTCCTCGTAGAATGAAAATCAAGGCAGCACATGACCACTCCATTCCGACTATCCAAACTTTCGTTTCAATAGATCAAAGAGAGACTTTTCTAGAAGAATAGCTCCTTAGTGTTTGGTATACATGTACCCTCAAATTTGTCCCTAGTTAATTAATAGCACACTATATCAAATTTGACCAAAATAACCTAAAGCCAGAAATAGAAGAGTTGTTTCTTCAGTCTCAATTCACATGGCCAGCTATTAAAGTAACAGTAACTTCTAAGCCCTAAGCCGCGTCCAAAATTACTTGGCTACGGCTGTCAATTACGCATTGGTCAATGGGAGCGGCTGAATCCACTTCCCATGGATGCTTGTGTTACCGTCAGCCGTAGCCGTAGCCGTAGCCGTAGCCGTAATTCAGAAGCGACAATACCGTGATGAGCAAAGACAGATCCAATGGATTGCTTCCATCATATAGGAAGTTAGGCTTTTGGTACCATACCTTAAAACCATAAAATATGACAACATTAAGCAGGGCCAAAATCATGGAACTTGTAAACACAAAATTTCACACAGCGAATTTGAAGTTCGCAGCTAAGCTCTCTGAGCTCTGAATTAATCAGTATCCAGAAAACATGAATGCCACTGCATTTTTACTGGATTTCTGATTTTTTCGATGGAAATACTTCCTGCGCTGATGAGATTTCTGTGCTCACAAGCAGATCCACGATATTCTTCCCAGGCATAAGTTTACTCCGTGGTTATTGGTTTCGGCAGTTGCAACTAATCGTTTACCTCTACGTTATACACAAATTAATTATTAAACTTAAAAATTTATCAAACTTAAAAACGAAGTTAATATTACACTTTAAAGTTACAAACAGATCTTTAGATTTGAGAAAGATCGTTTTTGGAGATGAGTTTTATGGTGAACACAAACGAAGACAAATTGTTTAAATTACACTTGGAAAACTTAATTAATCTGTGATTTGGAAAAGATCTCTTCTGGATAGCACTGATTTCAAGTAAGTTTGAATTCTGGAAACACTCTTACAAAGGGACATGATTGGTGATGTTCAAAATGTCTTCTTTTTTTAACGTTTCTTTTCCCTCCATATTCTGATCGGATTAAATGCAACCAAAAAAACCTATAGCACTTGCATTGATTTTGTCATCGTTATTCTTTCAATCATTAAAAAGATTGCATTTTTTTCAGTACAAAAAGTCACCAGCATGAAATGTGAATGTCTGACATTCGTTGATGCACAATGAAAGGGCAACACAGCTTTTAGCTTCATGTAAGTGTACCATCACATTTCTTTTGTAAAACTTGTACAAATTATTCAAAGCATTTACAAATAAGTGACTGAGAAGTCATATAAGGGTATTTGGAGGGATGAATTCGTGGGTCAGTACCTAGTGATCTTTAGGGAATACAGGGTGAGTAAAAAAAAACGAGCCCCAAATGTCGAGACCATTGTTTCAGTGAAGTTCTGCATGTGCACTTTCAAAATCTAGGATGTGAAAGCTTTCTTTCAGTATTCAGAAATGAAATTTTAGAATTCATAAGCTTTCTTTTAGTACAAGAATCATTCAAATCACTCATGTACTTTTCAAGTTACAGAGTTTTTAAGGTTTTGTCAACGGATCACAAAAAGTTAAAGTGTTCTTTCAGCAAAACGAAAACAAATGACATAAGGATGAATGTGAATTGTTTTCGTTTTGCTGAAAGAACGCACACCTAATGAATTGGGCTTTCATATCCCAGATTTTGAGAGCGCTACATGCAGTACTTCACTAAAACAATGGTCCCGACATTTGGGTTTTTCTTTTTTACTCACCCTGTATTGCGAATCAAAAGTCAAATGTATTAGTTGTGATATCCCTGTTTCCCTAATCGTACTTTCCGCACTTCATCTAGTCAAGTCTTTCATCTGGATAAATAATTCTTTGTGTCGTGATTTGTCGCAATGCGAAAATTAGTTTTCGATCAAGACGTTGCCGCACGATGGTGTTGTCACGACAAACCGTTGTCTTGGGAATCTTGCAAAATCTCCCCCGAAAAATGGGGGAAATTAGTGCGCATGCGCTACTTCTGCAGGTTATTACGGTCCATTTTCCATCGCATGCATACTACTGTAGCGGTTCGTCATGATAACGCCCTCTCGCAGCCGCGGGTTATTGTGTATGCAATATACGACGACAAGTTTTGACCCAAGAATATGCGAAATCCGTGTACTCCACCTAGGATACGTCATCGCCAAAAATTCTAAACACTCACTAGAAATTTAAAACTCAATCACTTAACAGTTACAAAGATTGACTACAGTGGCACGTCGCTATAACAAACATCGCGGGATCCGCAGAAATTGTTGGTAACAGTGATCGTTCGGTATAGCGGTATGGTTTTCACACATTAGTGGCGCCCTCTTTTGACCATTGTTATAGTGTAGTGGCACTTACAAACAGCACGCTGAGTCAAGCCCATTCATCTTTTCAATTCCGTCAGCAGAACTTCACCCTGTATGCCCTGGTAGTTACTGAAAGACGACTTTGAACACGTGCAACTATTGAATCATGTAATTACACAGTTTTTGAGCTTACACGGGTGGCTTTTCCCTTCTATTCCTTGGGGAAATAAAACCATTTGTCACTCTTCTGTCGACATCTTCGAACAACAATGTTCGTCACGTTTTGTACACAAAAATCGGGAGCCAAGGATGATGTTCGGTATAGCCGAATGTTCGGTAAAGCGGTGTTCGCTACAGCGACATTCCACTGTATTCCATCTGAACTGCTTAAACAAAAAGACCTCTGCCTGCTTTGAACTTGTCTTACAGCAAAGAAAATTAACGTTCTCAATATAAATCTTTCCAATAAAAAAGAATCCGGTTAAAGATGTTAAAACCATTTAAAATGTTCTGTCTGTAAAATTTCAGTTTTGTTAATCAAGATTAGATTTCTTGTACAACTAAATGTGCATGATATCATAAAATATATTGGAAAAAAGGGAGAAAGGTTTTTGCGTCCCACATTACTTCATCTCCAATGCAACATGACAAAACATGGTACAATTTTAATTTGTGGCAATTTAACTCACCAAGAAACCCTGCATGTATCACAAACAAAATATTTCTGAATGTAAAAAAAAAAAAAAAAAATCGCCAAAGACAAAAAATTTCTACAATCGTAAGAAAACCCAACTCAATCCAACAACTTTAATTTTCAGACGCAAAAAAAAGTTATGTGTTTTCAAAAATAGTTGCGAAAAATGTGTAACCTTTCAAATCCTGGGAGAGAGGGGGTGATATTAAGTGAAATTAGTAGTTTTACTTTCCAAAGAAATTCCACTTTCCAGTTTTGAGTGATCTCTAGTTGACGTTAACCACTTATTTTGTACTTTTCTTACAATTTTAAAACAACTTCCACTCAATAGCGTAAAGATGGTTAAGAATGCTAGCAGGATTATTTTTGTATCTTTTTTTAAATATGTCTCATTGAAGTTCAAGTGACGTTCAATCGGATTTTAAAAGGACTGGATTCGATTTGCTTTCGAAGCTAAAACTTTGTCAACCTCACAAATGACAGGACTTTTCTGTAACGTTTCAAGAGGACCGAAACACATGACCAAACAGGAGACTCTGTAAACATCATAAAATTCAGACTTATTTTGACATATTCATGGCATTATATACGAACAGCGGTTTTGCTTGCTAGTAGTACCATCTCAAATTGACATTATCCAGGGACAACATGTAATTCAGAGGCGAGCGTTTCAAACTTGTTTTTGTAATATTATATTTCCAAAGTGTGGATCTCTGCTGGGGGGAGGGGGAGGGGGGAGGGGGGAGTGTATCTAGATTATTGTGCAACATCTACAGTACCGTGGCCTACCCCCTCCCACTGAAGGGGGCGGAGTAACGGGTGCAAAATAGGCTTGGACTTTGACATCAGGATGCTGTGCCTGGAGAGAGAAAGAGAAAAAAGTGGGGAAAATATTTGAGATGAAACAGAAAAAAATAGGAAACGTGACTTTGAAATGGGCAGAACTTGAGCATTTCTGGTAATCTGGACGACAAATCTACCTTTGTTGTGTCGTTTAACACAATTATCCATCAAACAATCCACGAGTACAGTCAATTTCTTTTCAGTAAAGCAGCGGAAAAATGACACAACAAAAAAACTGAGATGTTGAGAGTTAGGCTTCTAAAAAGTCTCGATCATTTCAGGTTCCAATTTCATAAAAGCAGAAAACTGCACGCCAATCGGTTGGGGACGGGAGAGACATGTTCCCCCCCCCCCCCCCCCCCCCACTTTTGAAATGGGGGGATATATCGTTTGTCCCCCCCCCCCTCCACCTTTTCGTCCCCGAATAAAAATCTTTTACTTAAAAAAAAAATGGTTAAAGTGGTCAGAAATTGCCTCAGATCGCACCACACAGCGTCTAAAATCCCAAATTTTCCGGGGCTCTTAACCAGGCTCCAACCCCACGCCGCTGACATTCTGATCAAGGTATGTCCCCCCCCCCCCCTTGACCAGTTACACGGAACATGTCATGTTTCCTATTGGTTCTCAAAAGCAATGTACTTATATATTTTTTTTATTTTTTTTGGTGGTGTTTAGTACATTTCTTTGCTTAGCAGCTAAAAGAAAAATTTACCTAGCCACTTCCACATTTATACTTGACTACGGCTTGCTGGCTTGCAATTACACATGCTCCTATGGAAGCAGATGAAGCCACAGACAGCCGTAGCCAAAGAGTTTAGACGAAGCCTATTTCTTACCCTTAGCCGCCTTATCCCAGCCCTTGTAATCAACTGGCAGTCGTACAGCTCTATCCTCTGCAGGCTCTGGCAACCCATCAGGTGTTCTAGCGACACGTCCGTGATCAGGGGACAGTTGTCTAGCTCGATGACCTGCAGGTGCTCCGTGGCGCAGGCGCTGGTGCCTATGTGCCGGATGCCCTCGTCTGTGATCAGCTCGCAGTGGGAGAAACTCTGATGGGAGAGACGAGATGAGATTTTTTATAAACCTCAATGGAAAACAGAACAGAATTAAATCTAACTTAGAGGCATTTTTGCTAGGATGCAACCTCAATCCTGCAAAATCCTCCAACTTTTTTTTATTATTTCAAGCATAACATACAGCTTTGGCAATTTTGTCTGTTTCATTGGGTTTTTTTGTCAACAGTCACTATAAAATGCATGATTTTAGAGTTTCCGTGAGGAAAAGCAGTTGTAATTTGCATTTTAAAAAATTTGTCACAACCAGTCAGCACTTTGAAAACATACATTGATACAGAATAATGTTCTCAATATTCTAATAAGCTCACTGTGAATCTTTGATGCAATAAGCCATTTGCGAATTATATTAGAGTAACATCTGGTACCCTGACTTGATCAAATACTGGGCACATTTTAACTTTGAATTCTCCAGCCCAAAGAGACTGTTACTATATCACGTGATTCAGGGCAAGCCTTATGCTAGCAACCCCCAGCTCCGGCATGGTCTAGTGTCTTTGTGCCATTCTCACCCATTGTGAGCAATGTATTGATGCTGAGCGTCTCTTACGTAACTATGCAAGAGCTTGCCCCGAATCATGTGATACAGCAACAGTGCCTTTGGTCTGGAGAATTCAAAGTTAAAACCGATGTATAAACACTGTACACTCAAGTGTGTTACTTCCCGAGTTTTGAAAAAAATCACTCGGGTGGGACTCGAACCCATGACATCCTGCTTTCTAGTGCAGACGTCCATTATGAACAAGTCATTGTACCAGATGTTATTCAAATGTAACTCACAAAGGGTATAGGTTATTAGCAAATGGCTTATTTCAAGGCTGGCGCATGTAAAAACTTGATCAGTGACTCAACGTGTTTCGACTACTTGAATATTCAATCAAATCAAAATTTGAATTTGTCGAGTACTAAACTACTTGAAAGTGCACAGCCCTACAAGGGAGCAACGCCTACCAGTTCTTGCAGGGACGGGCAACCATTGGCCAGGTGCAACAGTGTGGAATCGGTAATCTGAAACAAGAACAAACAAAAATGTTGAGATTTTTAGAAGTAACACACCAAGGGAAATGCTACAATGATTCCAAAGTTTGGTCAGAATTAAATCTTACACAATGCTTTAATATCAGATGCTTTTTTTCAAGAATCAATTTTGATTTTTTTTTCACAATTGTTTATTTTCTTTTTCTTTTAACATTAAAACAAAATTTTAATGCCTGTCATGTTATTGGGAACAGGTTTAAAAAAAAAAAAAAACAGGAAATTTCCACACTTTTTTGAAAAAAAACATTCAGGCTTTAAGAAAATATCAGATGCTGTGGAAATCTTACCAATGAGCACTCTTCAAGATCCATTCTTTCTAATTCTGAACACGTCTGTAAAAAAGAGAGCAGATATTGCATGAATGCAGAGGCAGCTAATTGACACAAAAATTACAACCACACATCTTTAACCTTTTGACGTATACAATATGGTTTAATGGTGCCAAGTGGTTTGAAAATCACAATGAATAATTTTTCCAAATTTATTCCAACTTATCGTATTACAATTTCTTAAAAATAAGTGTTTGAATGCTATGGTTCACTCACTCTCGCTAAGGCTAGAAAGCCATTGTCTGTAAATTGTGAGCAACTGGCCACTTCCAATGTTCTGTTAAAAAAAAAGAAAAAATAGGTAACATTTAAAATATGTCCAAGTTAAACAAATTGCATTGTTTGACAGTGTTGTAATCGAGTCCATCACAAGTCCGGTTACAAGTAAATCACAAGTCCGTCCAATAGAAATATTCTCAGTCATTTCATGCCAAGTAAACAGGAGTTAAATGCCAGCCTGATGGGCCATATTGACTTGCGAAAGACTTTGCTTTACTCAGGGCTTGACTTTAGCGGTACTCCGCTAACAAATTCTAGTAGAAAACAGGGGCGGGCTAGTCAAGCTATTCCTAATTAAAGTAGCCCGGCTGGCGAGTCAAAAATTATTGAGCTACGGCAAAGCTGAAAGGACAGCAAGAAATAAATCAATAAATTCAGAAAGCAAACCTGCATCAATTTGTGTCAAATTTTATTCACGTTTTCGGTTAAATTATTAGATCGGTTTATTAAAAACACTGACAAGATTGCCTCGGGATACACGTTTTACATGTATGCACATTGTTGTTTATGAGACACTCTATAAGAGAAAAACATGCAGACTAGTGAAAATGCCGCAGGCTAGTTAAGAGTTTGTTTCAGTAGCCCGGCTGGCTAGTGAAAAAAAGGTTAAAGGGAATATACATTTGCAAACATTGGAAAACAAAACTACCAAATTTTTATGAAATACCTAAATAGGATGTTGGTAAATGAAAGTCTAAAGCATCCTGTAAAATTATGGCACCTGGTGTGAAGTCATTTTCAAGAAAAGTAGTATTTTGTATAAATTTCCAACGATGGTCGGCCGACCACCGTTGGAAAAAACTAACTATTTTTTAACTACTGCTCCAAATTTACCTTTTTTTCAGTCCAAATTTTGTTTGCTATTGGTTACATGTTCATGAACGGGTGCAGGCCAGCTAGACTGGTTTCCTTACCTTACAATTTTCGGGCATCAATAAATTGATTCATTTCATCTTTAGTGGAGTCAGGGAACCAGACTACTTGAACATATTTGTTTTTCTTGGTTTTTCCAGCATTTTCGAACACAAAACTTCAAACTTGTCAGTATAACAGTATTTGATCTATTATACTAACCCCTCAAATATTTCATTTCTGAAAATTACAGCAAAAGCCAATGATGTACATTACCTTTAAGGCCGAACCCAGGCTTTACTACCCCAAAAGAATGTACCATTAGGTTCCTGCGCAGCGTTGGACCCAGAGGGGCTCCCAACCAAACTGCCGAGGGATTTAGGACAAGAGTCGAGCCAAAAAGTTGTGATCTTACCTGAGTTTATGGCAGAAGTTACTCAGAGCTACTAGCGTTGCATCTGTGAGGTGTGTGCAACCCGATAGGCATAGTGACTGTAGTTTGCTGCAGCCCCGCGCGAGTTTCTGCATGCCCTCGTCTGTCATCAACTGAACAAAATTGGGGAAATAAAATTCCAATTTTTTATATCCTCATAAACTTTAGAGGCCCACGAGCTAAAGCTCACTGAATTGGTAAGAGTTTTAGGTGAAAATGCAATGATTGCTTGTTCTAAACCACATTTAAAAATACTTTAACCCTCCTGCTGTTTGAACAGTCACAGACAGTCAAAAACTCAACCCACTTCCCTACCATGCCTTTTATACACGCTAGTCACCAACAATCGGATCATATTACAAGCAAGCACTCTGACTAGTCAAATTCAGTCAAACAAAAGCAGGCAACTGGTAGGCAGAGCTGTCTTATCAATCACTTACGGTCGAAGAGCAGCTGCATCAAGTTACATAAACAGTCACAGCCAGTCAGCCCTGCTTTATGTAAGCAGGGAGCTCTTAACTGTTGAAAATAGTCACTTGATTGATTTTGACTGAAAGGACAACTTGGCACAGAATGTATGTTTGCATAGGAGGGTTAAAGGTTCTCTCTTACGCTTCAAGTTTAACTCCAAATGAAAACTCAAGGACAAGTTGTTTTTAAACAGGGTACTGTAAGCTGAAGATGAGACACGGTGACTCAAGCTTAACTTACCTGGCACCCTTGGACATTCAGGGTTGTCAAGTGGGGACTGTGAGTTCCTAAATGTGTGAGAGATTCTTCCGTTAACTGCACAAAAAAATCAAGAAATAATATTAGTAGTACCCCCGAAAAGTTTGTATTTGGAGTATGGAAGCAATGTTTTGTACATTTTTTTTATATTTGGGAGAGGGAATGCTAGAAATCAACTGACATATAGGGTGCTGCTTATTGCAAAACTCTCCATGTACTCCTGCCCCGCCCTGCCCCACCCTGCCCCGCCCAAAGTCATCACAATCTCTTCACTTACTTCATGACATCCTGTACAGATTAGCACAGCTAGTTTGGGAATCCCCCAACCAGTTCTTCAATACATGATCTCCATTCCCATCCTGCCCCGCCCTGCCCCACCCCAAGTTATCACAACCCCGCCTCTTTAGTTACTGGAACACATCCTTTGCAGATTAGCACAGTTAGTTTGGGCATCCCCTGACCAGTGCTTTAATACATGGTCTCTATTCCCATCCTGCCCCGCCCTGCCCCGCCCTGCCCCGCCCAAAGCCATCACAACCTCTTCACTTACTTGATGACATCCTGTACAGATTAGCACAGCTAATTTGGGAATCCCCTGATCAGTGCTTCAATGATCTCCATTCCCATCCTGCCCCGCCCTGCCCGCCCCACCTGAAGTTGTCACAACCCCGCCTCTTCACTTACTTGATGACATCCTTTACTGATTAGGACAGCTAATTTGGGAATCCCCTGACCAGTGCTTCAATGATCTCCATTCCCATCCTGCCCCGCCCTGCCCCACCCCGCCCCGCCCCAAGTTATCACAACCCCGCCTCTTCACTTACTTGATGACATCCTTTACAGATTAGCACAGCTAGTTTGGGGCACCCCCTGGCCAACGCTTCAATACCGTTGTCTGAAAGGCCACACCAGGACACGTTGAGATAGCTCAGGTTGTGGCATCCATCACTGAAATCAAACAAAAGACACAAATGTTGTAAAAAATAAACAGTTGTAAAATCTGAAATTTATCACGGCGTATATGGCTGATTCTGTTTATCCATTACAATACCAACGAGATTGACTGATTTTGACTTGGGATAAATATCACAGATAAATGTACACAAGTCTATAGGGATGGTAACAAATTTTAGGCTTTCAAGCAGACCCAGGTGAAAAAGTACAACAGTAGGACCAACATTTTCATCAAAACCCCCCCACCCAAAAACAGGACACAAGTAGAACTTTGGAGGACAAAATCAGGATAAAAGTAGGACTTTTGCAGGCTTTCAGGTGTAGTGTTCGTTAATACCCATGTCCACAGCATCATAAGCCTCATTTGGCATGTTCTGTGCTCAACACTTGTGCTCCATCCTCAATTAAGCTCTTGGAAGTACAGTTGCAGTACTCCTGTGCCCAAGCCCTTCATTGTGTGATTTACATATGACAGTGTGTAACACTGTTATGAAAAATATTCAATGACATTTTATTTTCGGAGTTGTGGGACAAACAAAGTAGGAAAAAAGTGGAAAAAGTTGGAATTTCAAAAAAAAGTAGGAAAAGTAGGAGCAATTTAAAAAAAAAACTAGGAAAAAGTAGAAAAGTAAGAATACCTGAAAGCCTGAAATATACAATCTGAATATATTTTTATGCCGTCAAAATTATGATGAAATTACTGTATGCACAAAAGTTGGAGTATAATCACTTTTTAATGAGACTTCGACCGAGGAAAAGTCAGCCCATGTTTAGTTAGTCAATTATTGACTGTCAGACAATAATTCTCATTCTCGCGGGATAGGCTGGTTCCCGCACAACAATCAGTATCGATAATGTACGGACCGGGAACCAGTCTGCTCGCAAAGCAGATATGTTTGTTCCCAAAACAATTTTTTTTCCAGAGCTTTGCAGATGTCCAAAAAAGGAAAATTGGAGAAAAAAATTTGAATTTGTTGAAGATTATGGGGAACACAACTTTAACAGTCACTCAGGTCAACCTAGGAATTTTTTTCAGACAGGCAAAGAGTTATGTGTTAAATTTTCCATTGACAAGACTCTGGAGTCGTTCCAAACAACTGCAACAGCTGATCTCGTGACGCAGTTGCTGATGTTTCGAACATCCAACTTGTAACGCATCTTCATAATAATTCGGGGTTCAACGGCAACTCCAGAATGCCAGTCCGAACGGGATGTTATTGCAAAAATATTCCTGTTACCGACCGACACTTCATTTCAGTGATGCGTCATCGCTGAAGTGTCTTCCCCCGAACTGGAAAACACTACAGAGTCAGACGCATGCATACTTTCAAAAAGGCCAAGGGAGACGGAATAAAATGTTGCACTCAATCTGCAAACACTCTGCAAATACCGACGAGAGTTTTGAGGCCGGCTGAATGCTACCTGAGGTATTTGAGTGCCTGGTCTGTGATGGATGTGCAGGAGTCCAGCCGGAGTCGGTGGAGCTTGCTGCAGTACTTGCTCAGGCTGGCCGCCGTCTTGTCCGAGATCTTTTTGCAGTCGCTCATTCGAAGGATCTCGATATTTCTGCAGTTCTGTGCAAATGTGCTGTGGAACGAAAAAAAAGAAAAGCCCTGACTGTACTGTTTGACTTATTCCCACTTGTACTGCATGAATCCGTAGAGCCATAGAGTGCTTTGGGGAGGGGGGGGGGGGGGGTGTCGTGGGGGTACAGGGAATAACAGGCAGGGCAGCTTCAGGTGGAACAGGTAATTATGGGTCACAATGTCTTGGGATTTTCAGGAGTTAGAGACTGAATCCTGAGTGTTAGGAACACGGGATATGTTGAGTTTTAATCAAGATATTGACAAGTGTCGATTTTTGTTGGATTTTCAGAGGAGAGTTTTCAATATCAGTAAGTTGTACATCTTACATGTATATCAGTTATGGACCAGTAAGTGGGTTTCCAATGGTCGGGGATGGGGAGGAGGCAACGGCAGATCCAAGGGGGGGGGGGGCCAACAGGGGCCATGCCCCGCCCCCCCCCCAAAAAAATAGAAGACAAACCAATTTTTTTTTTTTAAGTGACATCCCAAAAAAGGCAGCCACTGCGTACAACACCCATAAAACTCAACAAAAGCAATACGTAGTGCCCCCCCCCTTGCTTTTCATATTAGATTGGGGCGGAAAATTTGTTGGACCCCAAAACAATTTTTTTTGGTGGCCCCCCTCCCCCAAAATTGTGTTCTGGATCCAGCCTTGGGTGGGGGTGGCTTACTGACCCCATACATCCGACCAATATTTATATTTCATACGTTTCTGTAAAAAAAAAAAAAAAAAAAATGTCACCAAAATGTTCACATGCCAAAAAACTTCACGCAATATTGCAAACCTCAATTCAATCAGTAGAGCATTTGGTCTGTGCATGCATTTGCTTCAATACTTCCCCAACCAACCCTGCTTAAAAAATCCTTGACTTCAACACCTCGCCCACTGGTTTGAAAAATCCTGGATCTGCAAACTGCTGTCCTCTCGATTAACAAAATCTTCAGTTCCTACATTTTTTGTTCATTCACTTACTTGAGTGCATCGTCGGTGACATTCTGGCAACCGTACAGGCTTAGGTTCTTCAGGAAGCCCCCACATCGCTTGGAAATATGCTCAACCACTTTCCCCTAAAAAGCAAAAACAAAAAGAAGTTTTCTTAATTTGAGTTACACATCAATCAAGACTTGTTTAAAAACATCACAGCTTCTCTTACAAATCAGAGATGACTGTTAAGTCACCACAAAAAAAAAAGGAGAAAATTCCAAGACTTCGGTGTTTTTCAACTTCCAACAGCAGATATGGGAATCAAAAAAGAGGAAATCAGCTGAACCGAGGAAAAGGGGCATGCCACTACAATAGAATACATTCACGATTGACAAATTTTCAATTATTCATTTAGCAGAATAATGGGTTTGACCTGCCTATGACAATGCTACTTTGTATTTTCATGCATATGTAATCATATGATCATTTTCTTTACGCAAGGACAGCGTGACATTAATCATGAATAAATTCTCACCTCGACATCCGTCTGGAAGTTAAATAAATCCACCTTCTGCCAGTTGCTACCATCCAGGGCAAGCTGGTTCCAGGCCTAAAAACGGAGAGGAAAACTTGTCAACAAAAAATTCAACCTATGTCTCTTTCAAGGAAAGAAGGTTATCCCTTAAAAATGCACCTTTGTGTCTCATTTAACCTTATTTCAATTTGTATTTTGCCATTTTCAAGGGTGTTTTGGTGCCTTTTTGGTTTTTATGCTAATGCGAATTTCCATATTCATGGGCAAAAGTGTGATGTCATTTCGGGCAGAAACCTCAATGTTACAGTTGTCAGCACCAAGAGCTGCCAGAATTTTGAATTTTTTGCTGTCGTAATTTTTTTGGTTCTTTGGTGATTCGTTGTTGTGTCAGTACATGGCAGTAAGCCAGTGAGCAAACTTTTCTCACAGATGTTTTCAATGAGGAAACTTTTGGGTTCAAAATATAAACAGAAAACTCCAAAATTGAACAGTGTCTTCCTACAATGACATCCCAGCAACAGCGCCCTCAGTTGTCCGGAAAAGCATGGACAATTTAAAATGTTTAAAGAAGTGCACTTTTCAATAAAATTAACCAAAAAAGGAATGTCAAATAGTATTTATACATTTAAGAAGAGTAGAAAAAGTTGTACAAAACAAGTTCCTTAGAAAAATTAATTTCATGAACCCTTTAAATCAGTAATCTCTACCAACTGAGCTGGACGGCTCAGTTGGTAGAGCACCGGAATGGCAATCCGGAGGTCGCAGGTTCAAACCCCACCCGAGTCAATTTCTTTGTTCAATTTTATAAATTATTAAACGTAGTCAATTTCCCCTTTCTGGCATATTTGACATCAATCATTTCATGAGAATTCTGAATGCCGATGTGTTTATGCTTAGCAAATCCTTTCTGTACAAGATTTTGCGCTTAGCATGAAACTAAGCCCATCGTGCCCCATTTTGTGATGCTAAATATGATTCCACTACAACCATTACAATCTGCAACTGTGTTTGGTATAGCAATTAATGTTTTGGGCATTTCAAAATTTAGAAACGTTTCATTTTAGCACGACAAATGTCTGGTTTTAAACGTTGCAGGTCAACTTGCTCTAGGCAAAAAGGCCATCAATTTAACAAAAATGACCTCAAATTAGGCCACTTATTAGGAAACAAAAGAAAAAAAATAATACATGTAATAATAAATAAAAATCCAAGAGTAAATACTTATTAACTTCAAGGGGCTTTAAACAGAGATTCTATGAAGAAATTCTATCGACGAATGCAACAGGCACAGAATTATATGCATGTTGTTTGAGCAGAATTAAGCATCGGGCTCACTGAATGCATGAATACGTACAGACAACCAGCCCACCGAGCCTATACCTGCAGGGGACAAAAAATATTCATAGTATAGATTGGCAGCGTGTTATCAGACAATCAGTTGCCCCTAAAATAGGCTTATTGAATGCGCAGTCACACCTACCTTGGATACCTGGGCACATCGACACAGGCTCACGACGTCGAGGTACGAAAATATCCTGGAGGAAGCGGACGACAAAAGAACGCAATCAGAATAATCCAATGAAACCCAACATAATTCAATAACCGGATCATTCTGGGGGGCTCTTTTGTAAATTGAAAGTTAATACGGGGAAATTCATGACATAAAGGCCAATCTGGCGCTAGCGTTTTTTGTTTCCGAGAATTCAAGACTACATAATCTAGATTGTTTCACTTCTGTAAAAGTACAAAGATCATTGACACATTTTTAATATGGGAAGGAAAAGATATAAATTCACCACGTCTACTAAAACATCGCCTCACTTTTTTATACCTATTTCTAAAGCATTTTATTTAGGAAAAACATTGTATCACTTTTGGGGCCCGATATCTGCTTTAATACACAGAAATTTTATAAATTTGCGGTCCACTTTTTTCCCCTGTCACTGTTACATCTGACATAATTTTATAATTCTGATGCTTTCTTTAACCTTAACCTAGCTCAATTCCTCCAAAATCCTCATTGTAAAAATTGAGTATTTTGCAGGATTGAGGCTACATCTACATAGCAATAAAGTGTGGTTAATTTGGAGGATGCACTGTGTCAAGGTCTTGGACTGGACCTTGTATGTGTTTAGAAATGCTCAGCTGTGCATTATAAATCTAGGCCTAGATTATACTTGAAATCCTCCGCACTGCTCCAGGATGTCACTGGCTCTGCCTCAACATATTGACAGTGACTGCTCGAGGATTTTGCAGGATTGAGGCAGTGGTCACCCCTCCGAGGACCACATGTCAAGAAATGACAGGATTTTGGAGGATTGAGGCTGTACGTTATTTTTACATTCAGTTTGAGGATTTTGCAGGATTGAGGTGGCATCCTAGCAAACTAGGGAGTTAGGGTTAATGAACTACATGTACATTATACCTATCCAACAAATAAAAAATACATTTAAGTCGTTCTTGACGATACTTGAACGGCAAATAACAAAGTACCAAGGTAACAGGGACAGGAAAAACTCACATTTTAGACCCTAAAGAATGATCGATGTACATGTAGCCTGCGCTCTAACTGAGAAGTCATTAAACTACAGTTAGATACCTGCATTTATAATTTAAAACCCATTGTTCCATGAGCTAAAAAATCAGCATAACATGTTAAATACCCCAAGAATATGCAATATTCCGAGATCTGACACACTGAAAACACGACCACTAAGGTTATAAGCCATGCAGGAAAGCACTCAATGGTTTCTTGGAAAAGCCAATCCTTTGCATTCAAACAGGAGTGGCATTAAACATAGACATGCACGTACAGATACAAACACATGCCTACATGCTCCTGGTGTACCCTTGTCCAGTTTATAGACATCAAGTTGAGATTAAATTGTATTCAGGTAATTACAGACTGCAGTTTAAAGGTAGGGCAGTTCATTTGGCATTTGTGCATTTTTTTTTCGTTTGAAGCAACAAAAGTGCTCAAAATCTATAGACGGGTGCTTAACAACTAACCTGATTGAGTTTTAGCTCTGTGAATGCTGTATATTCCGAGAAAAACAATATTCTAGGATCTTGTTTTCAATTCAAAATTTGCCGAGCGATGTTTTGAATTGTGCCTGAAATCAGTGTCCGGGACACGTACGTTCTCATTCAGCCGATTGTTACTACGCGATGTCACACGCTGAACTGACAAATAATAGCAACCGCTTGTGTGTGCGTCATGTAAACGCTTGCGCGCACCCATTCACGGATGCACCAAATTACAAAACCAACAACATTGTAACGGAAATTTCCAGATGCATTGTTGGAAATGGCCTTCTTTCATTGTTTTCTTCAAAATGACCGCATGCCAGAAAGAATAATTTCACAGAAAGGGAGTTTGTGACATTAAGTACTATCTTTTAAACCAAGTAAGCTTTTCAACAATAATTTCACCAACTACTTTTGGGACAGCTGCAAATGATTTACTCTACCTTAAAGGGAATATACATCATTTGCTTTTGCTGTAATTTTCAGAAATGGATGGAATTGGGGGGTTGGAAATATATAGCAAATATAGTTACACTGACTTTTTTGAGGTTTTGGGTTCAAAAATGCTATAAAAACCAAGAAAAACAATCATTTTCCTGTAGTCTGGTTCCCTGACTCCATATAAGAAGAAACAGAGCAGTTTACATACATTGGGGAATTGTAAGGTCAGGGAACCAGTCTAGCTGGCTTGTACCCGTTCATAGGTGTGTAATCGATTGCAAACAAGTGCGATGGTCAATTGGGGCCAGTATTTGAAAAAAAGCCAGTTTTTTCCAACGCTGATCGGCCGATCAGCGTTGGAAATTGATACAAAAATACCACTTTTCTTGAAAATGACAGTATACCAGGTGCCATGATTTTACAGGATGCTTTACACTGTCATTCACTAACAGTCCAGCAAGGTATTTCAAAATGATTTGGTACTTTTTTTTTTTGATGTTTGCAAATGTTGTATTTTCCCTTTAAAAAAAATATCCAGTGGGATTGAAAAACCCAAGAGAATGAACCAATTATATTTTGTTGTATTTACACTATAAATTCTGACAATGGACTTTTGAAAAATACCAGGACTAAAAAAAAATGTACCTGTCATTCTGGCTTTTGGATTCGGCAGGATTCAACAGGGTACTTACGCGGAAGCCTGGGGGGTTATAGGGCTTAATTTTAAGGGCGTGCCTGCATCGGGAAGGGTTTTGTACCCAAACATCTGGGAGTACATTAATCTTACTGCACTTTACTCCTTGACATTTTTTTCCCAAGAAAATATCTGAAATCTGCAAGAATACAGTCTTATGGAGTATGGCACATTAATTAATTGTACTTCAACAATATTGGGACATCGTGCCCAATGTTATAAATGTAAAAGTAAACAAAAATACATTTATTTATTTATTTGTAGTTTTTTATAAACATTTTAACAGGATAGCCTCAGGCCAAAAAAATACTAGTTCTGCTTCCGGTTACCCTACCTACCCTATTTTGACAGCCCCTACCCTAATATTTTTGGGGGGAAAATGAGGAGAAAACCTCGAAAATCATCAATTACTACCTTTTACCCTTCACTACATGCAGACACCTCCATATGATTGTACCTCAAAAAATGCCAACAAAAACAAATTCCCTACCAACCTACCCTATTTTCAAATGCCATGTACATGTAATCGGAAGCAGAATTAGTAATTTTTTATGGTCTTTTCATTTAAAAAACCTGCTATCCCTGAGGGCCCTGTATAAAAATACATATTTACATTCATTTATATTTACTCTATTTCTCGGGATAGACAGTAAAACCAAGGGAAAAAACACAGAAAACAAAAAGAACCTAACAGCTCCCGAAGGATTGCCCAAAAGAGACAAAGTCTCTGTCGAGGGGCTCTCCTATCTGAAAGTTCAAACAATTGAATTAAATTAAAATAGTGACAATGCTTAAGATAAAACATCATAAAATTGTGTAAAACCACTAACAACAAGTAAAAATACGACTGAAGAAACAACAACAAGGTGCTGGCTTTCAGTACTACATGTAAGCTGACATCTTGACACATTTCTTTTAACTTATTTGGACAGCCTAGATCACAAGTTTGCATAAATTTATAAATTTCTGATCAAAACTACTCTCAAATATAAAACACATCACTACAGTGATGCCTGAAGAAATATTTGTAACTTGAAATTAAGTTTCAAGCTCAGATATTTCACTCAAAACCCTTGTATGAAATAAAATAAAAATTTATAGTGTGTTTTTAATTGGTTCTGTTCATGCATTAAATATTACGCTCCATCGTCAATGTAAAAATAAATTTCCAAATGCCTAGGTGTACATAAATAAATACATTTGTGACGAGAATAGTTTTTCGGCTTCATTTTTTCTCTTCAAGCAAAGCATTTTTTCCCCCCAACAATATTTTACAGTGCATTTTAAGTGGATGGATTCCTGCACAAAATATTGCGCTCCGGTGCCAGTATTGATGTGCATGTATTCAGAAATTTTCCACTCAAAATCAACAAAATATGACAAGATTGCTCATTCTAAATAATGTCAGATAAGGCAACCAGAATGTGTATAGAAACCAAATATATCTTGCAGAATTGTGGCCCTGTACTATAGTGTGTTCATTTCAGGCACATGAGCGTAATGTTTGTGTGTTTCATGAACATCATTTATGGATCTGTTCAGGGGCACCCAGTCAAAGAATATCGTCTTGAGGGTGTTGGGGGGGGGGGGGGGGGGGGGGAGAGAGAGAAGTGACAGGAAACTGACCCCAAAGGAATAAATCACTAAAATACACGTACGTGTATGAAAAATGTATCTGCCAAGAAGCATGACTTTTATTAAATCACATAAAGTACTACATAAATGTTTAACTACATAAATTTACATCAAGATATTTGAGGGACTGAGATTCAGGGTAAAGTTTACATGCGAAATATTTACATGTACATGTAATAAAAACCTTTAACATGTCCATAGTGTAGGTTTGGAATGGATTCGTTAGCGGATCATGGGGGGGGGGGGTAAATGGGGACCATCCCCCTCCCAATAAAAACCCTGATTTATTCCTTTTTTTTTAATCAGAGGAGTGAAAGTACCTTCCTGTCTTAAAGGTACATGTAATATGCACTGTATACATACAACATTCCTGTGAAATCATGGCACCTGGTGTGCTGTCAATTCCGAGAAGATGAATTTTGGAGCTATTTCCAACGATGGTCGGCTGACCATCGTTGGGAAAAAAACTGACTCTTTTTCAAATACAGCCCCAAGTTTACCAAATTTAGTTAGTTAACATTTGTTTGCAATGCAGTTACACATCCCCGAACGGGTGCTATAGGCTAGTCTGGTTCCGTAACCTAACAATTCCCTGATGTCTATAAATTGCCCCATTGTGGTTTTGTCTGAAGTAGGTCAGGGAACCAGGCTACAAGAACAGCATTTGTTTATTGATTCCCCCCCCCCCCCCAGCATCCATTTTAAACAGGTCAATGTGACAATATTTGCTATAAAATACTTACCCCCAAATCCACCCATTTCTGAAAATTACAGCAAAAGCAAATGTGGTATATTCCCTTTAAATTTTCAGGAAATAAATTTGAACATCGCATATCTCCCATGCAGCCATCAGCTACACATGTTTTTCAGTTTTAATATTAATATGTGGAAATAGTGCACAATACTTAATTCCCTTCCCCTAAACAAAACAAAAACAAAAGAAACCCAAAAATTGGTTCTGGATCCGCCCTTGAATAGATTATCATTATTACCTCCGCCAAGGAGCTTATGTTTTCATCGGATTAGGTTAGTTTGTTTGTTTGTTGGTTGGTTTGTCTGTTAACAAGATAACTCAAAAAGTTTTGGACGGATTTGCATGAACAATTTTTTAGGGGTGGTCCATGGTACAAGTACAAACCAATTAGATTTTGGAAGTGATCCGGATCTGGGTCTGGATCCAGGATGTTTTTAAAGGGTTCTTCACCATTTATGCGAGTATTTCTTTTGGATGTACTAACATGAATATGGCAATTGTTTAGCCTTGGCGGAGGTTTGCGCTCTTTAAGTGCTTTCTAGTTCGATATGGAATACTGATATTTGAGTTATCATTCATTGTCGGATAAAGAAAGTGTTTTTCAGAGCCAAAATCTCACAGAGAAGGAAACAAGATCCAATGCCCCAATCAAATTATAAGAACTGATTAAAATTATTAGGTAAAAACAATCAACTGACACGTTGAAAGTCCAAGCTTTCAGACTCAGATTTCTTCTAAAAATGAATATTTGCCTGAGGTATGTGTATGGGCTCAGTTACATGTACAAGTACATTACATGCTTATTCCAAGAATAAAAAAATCCATGGTTTTTGTAGCATTAACCCAAACTCCCAAGGGTGATTTACTAGGAACCTTCCTCATCGACAGGAGTCATCAGGCTGGCGTAGCGATACTTTCATCGCCTTCCACCGCTGTGACCCACGGATTGGGATTTCAGTCCCTGCCTGATTCCATGGGTTTTCCCCAGAATATTCTTCCAGGCTTTTCCTCCCGCCTCTAAAACTGTAACTTCTTCCCATTGTCTTCTCTCTACAGGTTTCTTCAGGCTTGCGAGCTACAGTGCCTAGGGCGCTTTTGAGGAATCCTTGGTTTCATTACCAGAAATGATTAATACTAATAATAAATAATAATAATCCTTGCAATAATAATAATCCCAAAACCATGGTAAACTGTGCACAAAAAGAGTTGCACTTTGTTTATTTGTGGTATGCCTATTCCCACGTAAAGCACAGTCTGTTTACTATAGTGCAGTACCCATCCTAACAGATTCCAACAAACCCTGGTGTTGGAGTTTGGAGGGTTGGGGACAAAGGGATAATTAAGTTGCTTGGTTTTTTGCGGGGTGATTTGAGAATTAAAAAAATGATCAAATACATAAAGATGCTGGTTAACCTTACCTCAAAGTGTCCTCCTTAGGAAGTTTGGAGTTGATGAGACATTCGTCATCTCGCAGGATCTAAAGTGCACAAAAAACCCCCCAAAAAACGAAACTTGTTGAAAACAAACTGGCAAAACAATATACAGGGAGACCCAAAGAAATACATCCCTGAAACATTTGCCTTTTTTCAAAAATATGATGTGTGGATTTTTATGTTTTGGAAATCAGATTAAAGCTGAGAGCTTTTTCTTTCAAATACTGAAAAAATCACGAAAACAGCACATTGGGTTGCTGAGAAAATGCCAATTATGTAAAACAAGTGATTTTTCATCTGTTCCAAAAGTGCTTCAAACAGTGAAACATGTTACTGTAACTTGTAAGACCACTGTGCAATTGTCTTTAATTTGTGCAATTTCTTTAATATTTTGACATATTTATGATGCTGAAAGGGTTTAAAATATTTTCTGGTGATGGTTAGGACCAAACCATTGCGAAAATTCAACAACAAAAAATTTATACTGCCCAAATTGACCAAATTTTGTCTAGTTTGTAATCAGTTACATGTATATCCCTGAATGTCATGAATGAGACTTATTCTTCCCGATTGAAAAACTGGAAATCATACCACAAGAGGGTGCAAGTAGTCAAAACGTATTTAATGAAAATTTTGGAAGGGAGGGCTTTCTGTTGAGAAAAATACTTTCTGTCTAGAATGAAGGATGCAGTTTCACAGTTTTCTCAAAAAGTATACGAGCTGACAGTTCGACAGGTAATTAGGTTTTTAATAACATGCTTCAGATTTATTGTATTGTTGCTCCTTGATTTGTAAAAAACACTTTTTGTTTTGGTAAATGGGGTCCACCAACTTTAAAACCAAAGATGCTTAGTGCATCCAGACATCGTCCTTATAATTTACCCCTCATGCAGGGAGGTCACAACCATCCTCGTTGATTAGGTGGAGATGGATGCTGGGATTTATTCAATTTACGCTACGATAACAGGGTCAGTGTTTGACTAGATTCCAACCCAAGGTATGGTACGGTGCACAAACTTTACAGTACATCACCGGGGAATGCAAAATCCACAACAAAATTCAATCAAAGCAGTGCATTTGAGCCAGGGACCTAATTCTGTGCGATCGAGTATCAACGGGCCCGGTTCCCTGTAGGCTGTAGGGAACAAAATCCACTTTTAAATTATTTGACTTACCGAACTAGTTGGCGACATTAAGAATATGCAGGTATGTCATAGATAGGGTTTTGAATTTTCAAGGGAAATTTTAGGGTAAAATGACAACGACGACGACAAAACGCAACACGAAAATAAAGATGGCGATCACCGCACGATGTACTGTGAACGCGTACATGTAAGGCACGCTGAATCGCACGGCACCAACCGTAAACCGCATAGGAAAATCGTAATTTCTACCCCAAGAAACTGTTCAAGATTACAAAAAAAGTATCATTAGAATTGAGAGAAGTCTGCTTTAGGTTGAAAAGGTCATTTTTGAGTAATATAAAACACCCTTGACTCTAATTTGATCGAAACTAAACCTACACTACAAGATCGCCTAATTCTGCATCCACCATCACTGTATGTGCATTGACCCAACAGATTGAAACATCAAGCGATCAAATTTTATGAGCCATCGCATCAATTCATCAATTCAGTGTTAAACAAGGTGATGGATTCCAAGGTAATTTTATTTAAACACCAATGATGAACAATGATGAAAATTATATCGTTTGATTTGTCTCTCATAAATGCAGGACTGCTGTTGACAGTCGTTGTGACAACAAGTTGTTGCTTAAGAACTGTTGGTTCTTAAGACATTCTATATTAAGAAACTACAGGTACCACATACAGTTACATGGGGAGGGGAGTATTCCATTAAGAAAAATTCAGACACCGGGAGTGAGGACTACATTGTACATAAACATGAGCTCTAACAAGGTGTATCGCTGACATCAGCAGGGAGATACTTGATACGGTACTTGATATTCTCTTCCTCTGTCCACGGAAACAGGCATTAAGTATGCCTCTCTGCAACACATTGACACGTGTTCAAGGAAATAATGTGCATCAATCAGACCAGGGGCGTTTCAATTTTCAGAAAATATTTCTTCCCAACATTTGTGACCTTAACAACTGCCATTTTGGCGAAACTTTTTTTCAATGAAGAATGTTTAACTGTAGAACTTGCAGTGGCGGATCCAGGGGTGCAGAGGGGGTGTCCCCCCCCCACCCCTCCCCCCCCCCCCAGCAGTGAACGAAATTAATTCTCAAATAAAGCCATTTTTCACTTGAGAGATCCTTCAGCACCCCCCCCCCCCCATTCCCGGCAGTGACTGAACCGAAATTTTCTCAAATAAGGCCATTTTTCACTTGGGAGAGCACCCCCCCCCCCCCCCCCACCCAGGCAGTAACCTCTCTGGGTCCACCCTTGACAAGTTATTCAGTAAGCAAAAAAAAAAAAAAAAAAAAAAAAGTATGGGAAAAATGGATATTTGTGGGATATCCCTCTTCAAAGTGTACTTGCCATAGAGGCCAATGGAGAATTAAAGGTAAAGACTGCATGAATACATATGGGCAATTCCTCACGTTACATTTTTTATGTAAGCTTTTAAGCTTACTTGGGCTGTAATTACCTTACTGAAAAGGTTTAATAACTGTTATCCCCATGGTAGGTTACTCCCAAAATTGGTTACTCACGTTACATTTTCGTAACGTGAGTAACCGATTTTGTGCGTCTTGTTTATCATACATAACACATTTTTCTGGATGTTATCTTTGGTGCTTAGGTAGGTCTAGGTCTACTCTATCTACCATGGGGATAACAGCTATTAAACCTTTTCAGTAAGGTAATAACAGCCCAAGGAAACTCAAAAGTACATCAAAAATGTAACGTGAGTAACTGTGGAATTGCCCATTTGCACAATAAAATGTTATTTTGAAAATTAGTTTCGTATGATAATTATACCAGATGAACCAGTACATTTACTGGTATAGTATATTATGACATTGTCTCGATCTTCAGACAGTTCTGACAGAGACAAATGCTGATGTCTTAATTTCCACGAAACTTTAACATTCATCCGTCCCTGTACGACTCAGATGCATATTATCCACTTGCCAGACTTGGACAATCTCTTCCCCAGTTCTTAATGGATCAGATGTGCGTACGTGTCCCTACTATATCATCTACTCAGAGAATCACTGACGTTAAGGATTTTTTTTTCAAGACCAGGTCGTAGAGTAGCAAATTCCGGGCAATCCAATTGAAGGATTGATTTTATTTTTCTGCCCCACAGTGAGCTGTTTGATGCTTCAAGTTACACTGGGCTTGAGCAGGGTTTTATGCTCTTAAAACCATGCACACCATGTATCAGAAATTATAGACCGACTAACTGACATCTAAACAAAGTGCATTGAGAAGCAAATCAGATATATATTATAATAGCTTGTTTTTCACTGAAAAAAATCATGTTTTAAATGAAAAGAAAAAGAATTCAATGATTCAGCCACAAAAACATACAATGTGGGATATTCAAGTTAGGCCCCCCAAAAAAGTCTCCGGTTTCTGGTATGCGGGTGCATCGCTGTAGCCATGTGTGTTGGCAAACTGAAAAATGTTTTTTTTTCAATGAAAGATGATGTCTCAAAACCGCCAAACTCACTGGTTTGACTGGAATCCTGCTGCTGCACAATTTTAACGTGTTTAATAGATGGGGTTATGATCGAGAATTAATTCAAGCTTTATGTGGCCTCTCTGGACTCCCATATATTTGCACTAAGTTTAGTCGAGCACCATTTGCAGTCATCAGCCGACATTTGAATCAAAACAGTCAGGTAAAAAAAAAAAAAAAGCCGCGTCGCCGCACCACTTTTTGGGCAAGCTCCATACCAGAAACCGGAGACTTTTTTTTTGGCCTTAGGGTCCAGAATGTGATTTTGAACTTTGTACATAACGGTACACGTGTAATTTGCCATTCAAGTATCATTAACTAAGAAAATGACATCATATGATTTTTTTATCAGAATTATAAAATCATAGATGTCAGATTTAACAGGAACACGAAAAAATATGTGGAGCCTAAATTTGAATGATCGACCCATGTACTGCCAATGATTTGTTTTCTTAATAAATACAGTTTCCTGAATTAAGAAAAAAAATATCGAATAAAATCCTCAATTAAAATATTGAATCAGCATGTAAAAATATTGAATTAATATCCTTATTAAAAGATCTCACGCTGTCTGTCTGTCTGGTGTCTGTCTGATGTTTGTGTGCCACGTTTTTAGTAAAAGGACTAAGGAGTGTGCGTAAGTACAAAATGCAAGGGTTAAAGGGAAAATACAACATTTGCAAACATCAAAAAATAAAACTACCAAATCATTTTGTAATACCTTGCTGGACTGTTAGTGAATGACAGTGTAAAACATCCAGTAAAATCATGGCACCTGGTATACTGTCATTTTCAAGAAAAATAGTATTTTTGTATCAATTTTCAATGCTGGTCGGCCGACCAGCGTTGGAAAAAACTGGCTTTTTTTCAAATACTGGCCCTAATTGACCATCGCACTTGTTTGCAATCGATTACACACCTATGAACGGGTACAAGCCAGCTAGACTGGTTCCCTGACCTTACAATTCCCCAATGTATGTAAACTGCTCTGTTTCTTCTTATATGGAGTCAGGGAACCAGACTACAGGAAAATGATTGTTTTTCTTGGTTTTTATAGCATTTTCGAACCCAAAACCTCAAAAAAGTCAGCGTAACTATATTTGCTATATATTTCCAACCCCCCAATTCCATCCATTTCTGAAAATTACAGCAAAAGCAAATGATGTATATTCCCTTTAATGGAGATGTATCCAGTGTATGCAAGACCTATGCCCCAATTTCACTGTCCTCTGAAGTCACGGTTTTGTTTTGCTGTTTTGGCAAATTTGTTTCTTTCACACTTTGAATAATTAAATATTACAACATTATCTCTATGAAAACACTCCAAAACGTATCGCTATTATGCAAAACCGAACGTTGTTGATGAATAATGTGGCAAAATTGCTTCACCAA